TAAGAGTTATTGATTCACTTTCTTTTCATTTTGACCTCTGATTCCCCCTCTGAATTTGTCAAATTAAAGGTTAATTCAGAGGTTGTTATCAATATGCATATCAGCTATTGCTTTTGCTCTTTGGGAATCTAAAGTCTTTTAAAAACAAAAACAGCTAAGGGACAAACTTTGAGAACCTTTTGGCATGAACCAACACACCAGTCCTTAAGCTGTGATAGGAAAGTGGGATAATAGATTGTGGCAATATTGGGAGTCACAGTTCCAGTGGTTCATTTAGGCAGTTTTAGACTCTGGACTTCATGGTCTTACAGGCAGCTTCCTCTTTAAATGACAAGATGTACGACTTTGCTTAATTAAAACTGTGGCAAACCAGCCCTGCTGTGTTACAGGACTGTTCTAGGTCATTATGATGAAAGGGGCCCTGAACTTCTGCCTCAAAATCTTGCTCTGATGGCACCACTTGCCAGTTTCCACATAAGGTTTTGCTGTCCAGTGTTCTGAAATCAACGAATACTAGCTGCAGTCACACAATACATTTAAAGCACATGATCTCCCATACCCTCCAACATTTATCTGATGAAAATATGGATGCCCTATTCCATAATTATAATTTTACCATTTATACCCCACACATCTCACTGGGTTGCCCCAGCCACTTTGGGCAGCTTCCAACATACATAAAAACATAATAAAATATTAACCATTAAAAAAAACCCTTCCGTATACAGTACAGGATTGCCTTCAAATGGCTTGCTGGTGAGTGGATAACTCCATATCCTCCAACATTTCTCTGATGAAAACAGGGATGTCCTAAGGAAAAGCGGGACATTTCGGGATCAAATCAGAAACTGAGATGGCTTCTCTAAATCTGGGATGTCCCTGGAAAATAAGGACACTGGGAGAGTCTGGGTCTACCCACCCCCAGAATACTGGGAACTGTAATTCGCCTCACAGATCTACAATTTCCAGCACCCTTAACAAACTACAGTCTCCAGGATTCTTTGAAGGAAGCTATGAATTTGAAATGGACTTGAACTATATGGTATGTATGCATCCATTGTTTCTGAGGCAGATGCTGGCCACTTCATCAAGTGATAATTGTTTTCACTTCCCCATTCCACAACAACCCATTTTAAACTTGAGAAGCCCTCAATCAGATTGGCACTCAGTTTAGTAAATAAGCCGTGCATCTGCTGCGTTAAACCAATTGTGTGGTTTAGCAATTTGCGACATTATTGGAATGTGCAATTGTGTGTTCCCTGTCGTAATGGCTTGACTTTGTGAGCTGAATGATTGAAGGCACGTTTTGATTTTTCAGATCTAGTTCTTTTGTAAAAACAAAAACAAAAAAATCCCGCCACCAATTCCCCTTCAACTTCTTCAGAGTTTATTTGGGCAGTCAAGGGCACATCTGTTGCTGCAACAACCTCAAAGGATGAGAGAATGCATTTGGAACACATTTTGACATCAATAACCCAGGAACAGAGACATATTGAAGGGGTTTCCAGACCATGACTATTAAACTTATTTATCATGTCCAGCAAATGCCAAGAGATGGGAGATTTAAGGGTGAGGCGGCACGAATATCTTGGCATCATATAGAGTGTTATTTGAGGACGCAAAGGCATCTCTCCCAGTTGCTGTCATTGGAATAAGTTGTGGCAAAAAGCACAGCTCTGAGAAAGCAGAAAAATAACCACCGGGGTGGGGGGTGAGCTGTGTCTGCCAGCTCAAATCCTAAGCATCTCAGTAATAAGTGCCACGGAGTTAAATGGGGCTACATCTAAGTAGAGGGACGCGGGTGGCGCTGTGGGTTAAACCACAGAGCCTAGGACTTGCCGATCAGAAGGTCGGTGGTTCGAATCCCCGCGACGGGGTGAGCTCCCGTTGCTCGGTCCCAGCTCCTGCCAACCTAGCAGTTCAAAAGCACGTCAAAGTGCAAGTAGATAAATAGGTACCGCTCCGGCGGGAAGGTAAACGGCATTTCTGTGCGCTGCTCTGGTTCGCCAGAAGCGGCTTAGTCATGCTGGCCACATGACCCGGAAGCTGTACACTGGCTCCCTCGGCCAATAAAGCGAGATGAGCACCGCAACCCCAGAGTCGGTCACGACTGGACCTAATGGTCAGGGGTCCCTTTACCTTTACTTTACATCTAAGTATAAATGGGTAGAGCGTTGCAGGTGGCATCTTTCTGAATCTACAGCCCCTGGTTCCCACATGCAGCTGAATGAGATTATAGAGGATCAAGGTGGGAGATAACATTTAGGAATGTTCCCCTATGTTAAAAACAAAAGAAAGCCCTTATCTGCAAATAGAGAACCAGCACAGCAGGCAACCATCTGGGAGAGACCCATCTCACCTCCCTCATGCAGTAAGAGGACAGAACAGCACCTTTGTACTCTCCCTGGGGGAAGCTGTGTGGTTTGGGCCTACAGGAAAAGGGCAAATGAGGGCTTTTTGCCCGAAGGCGCTACAAAACTTGGCAGCGGGTGCTGATACGATATGGGAGTTGAATGGTGTTTTTCCCGATTCTCCTTTGAGAATTCCAGGCCTTATTTTTACAAGTTTTTGAGAACCTCTGGTTTTGGTATTAGCCAACACACCAGTTGTCTTTGTCCTTGTCCTTGTCCTTGTCCATTGTCCATGGAGTTTTCTTGGCAGGGATACTGGAGTGGCTTGCCGGTTCCTGCTCCAGGTGGATCACGTTTGGTCAAACTCTCCACTATGACCTGTCCATCTTGGGTGGCCCTGCACGGCATAGCTCATAGCTTCTCTGAGTTATTCAAGCCCCTTCACCATGGCCATACATCACACATCAGTAGTGATGTATGGAAGTGAGAGCTGACCATAAAGAAGGCTGATCGCCGAAGAATTGATGCTTTTGAATTATGGTGCTGGAGGAGACTCTTGAGAGTCCCATGGACTGCAAAAAGATCAAACCTCTCCATTCTGAAGGAAATCAGCCCTGAGTGCTCACTGGAAGGACAGATTGTGAAGCTGAGGCTCCAAGACTTTGGCCACCTCATGAGAAGAGAAGACTCCCTGGAAAAGACCCTGATGTTGGGAAAGATGGAGGGCACAAGGAGAAGGGGAGGACAGAGGACGAGATGGTTGGTCAGTGTTCTCGAAGCTACCAGCATGAGTTTGACCCAACTGCGGGAGGCAGTGGAAGACAGGAGTGCCTGGCGTGCTCTGGTTCATGGGGTCACGAAGAGTCGGACACGACTAAACGACTAAACAACAACAACACCACACCAGTTCTCGGGATATTATAGGAAGGTGAGGCCTTGGCTTGGAAAGGAAGCTGAGCGTGTATTTTTCCACAGGCCTGGAATCTGCCCTTCAGTATTCCAAATATTAGCCAGATAGATCCTGACATTCATTTATTTTCCCCAAAACTTATAACAACACTATAACATGGGGTCATCTGTCAAAACTGATTGGCAGTAGGGCTATGTGCACATTGAAAGCACATTCCACTCCTGCCTGAAGAAGGATCCTGAGAACTGTATTTTATTAAGGGTGCTGGGAATTGTAGCTATGTGAGAAGTAAATTTCAATTCACAGGATTCTTGGCATCAGGTGTGTGTGAATGTGTATGCCAGGCAGACACAAACAGAAGGACTTATTCGCTCAGCAAATAATGGGTCGCATCCCATGTGAGCCCTACTCAGACTAGGCTTATTGAAATTGATGGATATGATTCAATTCCATTAATTTAAGTGGGTCTACTCTCAGTAGGACTGACATTGGATACAACCCAATGTAATGAATTGCCAGAGGTGTACCTAGGGGTTGGAAACAAAGATCACCTTTCTTGCACTGTGGCACAAAGGTGTGCAATTTTCCCCCAAACGTCTTCCTCACCCTCGCCCTCACTTTGGTCCCTTTGACTACTTGTAAAATGTAGTGATTTCTAATGTGGATATTGCTGTAATTTCGCCTTTTTCTTTTTTGAGGTGGACCCAAAGGAACAAGGGACCCAAGGAACACTCTGTGAATTGCCACACAATGTTTTGATAGCCACTGACATAAGACTTTATCCACACTTCCTCCTGTCCTGCCCCCAGAGCGAAAAAAAACATTATTTAGTGCTCAATAGGAGTAAACAGCAATTCAGGTTTTTCCACGGATTGCCATTTGTTCCAATTTAGTGCCAAAGAGCAGGTTTTCCCTTGGGAAGGAGCGGGGCAAGGGGAAAATTATTCAGACCTCTGCTTTTTACACACAGGACAAGAGCAAGGTGGACAAGTCCTAGATTCCTTCAAAAGGGAGTTATTAACAGGATCTTGATGGCTTTATGGAAACTCTCTGTTCATTGGCACTGTACCATTGCACACCATTTTCTTAAGATTAACAACATGGGAGGGTGCCTTCTGCTTCTGCATTTCTCCAGGGTTGGCCACTGCAGCTAGCAGGATGCTCAACTTAGGCCTTTGGCCTGACCCAACACGGCTGCCCTTATGCTCTTAATCCTTAAACATTTACAGGTGGAGGAACTGCACATTTTTAATCTTTGATGTTTTATCGTGTTTTTCATATTCTGCTGGGAGCAGCCCAGAGTGGCTGGGGAATAAATTATTGTTATTATTACTGTATTATTATTATTATTTTCTGGCACTTAATTTGGGAGCTCCCCAAATTCTTTTAAGTGCCAGAAAATATTAATTATTATTATTATTATTATAGTACATATATATATTTACACACACACACACACACACACACACACACGAGTTTTGGAACAACTAGCTCTAACATGAGCCACCTCAGCTTTTAACAGTTCCTTTTTCCAAGTTACGTTTGCCCCCTTCCGCAGAATGGTCTCGCCCAAGAGCTTGCTTATTCCATTGAGACGGACCCGTTCTATTTCGGAAGAACAGACCTCAATACGGATTCCCTCCCTTTCCCTCACCCAATCCGCGACTCTCACGTAAGGGGCGTGGCCGCGGGGCCTTCAAGGCCACGCCCCTCCTTTATAAACCTTCCCGCAGCGGCCATTTTGTCTCAGTCTTTAGCTCTTGCGGCGCAGTGGAAGGTGACTGGGAAGCATTCGGAGTCTTTCGTTCCCTTTGCTCCTTTTTTCATTCTTTGTTCAGAGCCGGTCTGAAGGGCGGCTCCGTAGATGGCCAGCTTTCCCCCGAGTGTTAACGAGAAGCTCATTGGTGAGAGGCGCCCCCTTCCGCGGAGAAGGGAAAAGGGATTGCTTATTGCTGATTATGTTTATTAATAATGCTAATAATAATAGGATCGAAAAGGTGGCAAAGGAGGGGAGGAAGATGGCTCAGAGGCGTTGGCTATGCCTCGTGCGTCGTGAAAACGCTCGTTGGCAGCCGAATTGCAGGGCTTGCTTTGAAAGATGCTATAGGACTGCTCTTAAGTGGGTTGCATCCAGCGCGATTCCTTACTCGGAGTAGACCCATTGAAATGAATGGGCATGTCAGAATCGGGTCACTTGGTTTCGAGGGATCTGCGGCGAGTAAGCCTAACGTTGGCTGCAACCCCAGGTTTGCAAGGGATCAAGTAAAACATTAGTAAAGGGAGGGTACGGGAACATGCATAAAACTGGCTTGCGAGCAAATGATTTTCCTTATACAAAATAAAACGAGCACGTCGTTCCTGTTGCCTTTCTGCACAATTCGTTGGAAGTTGCTTATGCCCGCTCGTGTACAGTTTTGCATATGTGGCTTAAGCTTGGAATAGGCCCAATATAGGAAGAAATGAGGGCTGCTGGAAAAAAACGTGGGGTTGAAGGAGAGCATCTTGGTTGTTGGGGATGTACGTAATCATGGCGGTGTGCTATTAATAGCAGTGTGATTTGGTGTGCTAAATTACGTACACCTTGCTTTTGTTGTGTCTTTTGGGACGGGCTTAGCAAGTTATGAATGCCATTAACGAAATTATAGGGGAGACAGTTACAGGGCAGGCTCTCGCAGGCTGCTTTGTTAGTCCTACGTAAGAGTAGACTCATTTAAGTTAATGGGCATGACTGACTTGATTTCAATGGGTCTCTTCTGAGTAGAACTGAATTGGACAGAGCCCAATGAAATCCATAAGCCTCAGCGCCCCCCCCCCCCCGCTCGTGGCATGTTCCAATTTTAATTACTTGTGACCACCTCCTTCCTACAGCCTTCTAAAAACAGTAGCTTAAGGGTGCTGGGTTTCCCCTCAACCTTTTCACTCCTCTGTAATTTGAGAGTTGTGTGGTGGGTATGGCTGTTGCATTTGGAGGCAGCATAGAAGCATTTGACATAGCACTGGAGAAGTAGATTATAAAGTGGATCCGGTTGGGTGTGGTTGGGGCTGGGCGGTGGTGATAGAGCAGCCTAAAGAACTTTAGGAGAGCAGGAGGGTGACAGGCAAAATAGAAAAACAAGTGTTGCTAAATCTGAGACAAAAGCTGGCTGTGGGCAAGCGACTAGATTTATAATCAGGAGTGGGGATCCTGTAGCCCAGCCCCAACTTCTCTTATCTCTAGGGCTGAGGGGAGTTGGGAGCCCCTCACCTTTTGTTGGGCTTCAGGTTCCCCACTTCCTGGTGTGCAGGAGAGACATTGTAAGGTCTCCAGCTTAGGGAGATGCCATTGCGTTTTATCCGGGTGCATGTTTTGTGTGTAGACTGCTCAAAACTTTCCAGAAGATTATAAAACGATATACTGGGTGTAGCCTGTGATAATCATCTCTGATAACGAGGAATAAAACAGCGCACACATTTTGGCTCGTGGGATAACCTCAAGGAAGCTCTTGTTTCCTCAGAATGAGAGGTGCTTTTTTGTTAGACACTGAGGAAGGATCTAGTGGTGACTTGGGGGGGGTGGCGGAATCTGGTTATAGAGATTTTAAACAATTCCTTCAATGCTTTCAGTGGTTGTGAGAGTACAGAAAGTTGCAAAATGATTTTTTTAAATAAAGCATAGAGAGCAGGACTGTAATGTAAATTGTTTGCATGCAATTTCCTTCTGGTTTGACCGAGGAGTTAGGGGAGTATTTCAAAGCCCAAAAGAGGAACAAGTCTGTTCCGCATTGAAATTCTTTTGCAGTTAGTTGTACATCTGCACGGGCTTGCAGTGTGAGTGACTCTGGTTGGAAGTTGTGTTACAAGTCAGAACTGCTGCGTGTCAGGTGAATTTTTTCTTCTCCCTTCCCTGCTTTTCCCTCCTTTTTTGGGGGTGGGGTGTCAGCCTGGAACCTTCCACCCCTTCACTCATCCCAAATTAAGTGAAAGAAATGGAGGAGAAATTCTTGCTGGTAATACAAGACGCCCAAATTATCTCGCTAATTTGCAATGCACTTAAAATGTGGATTATTTTTTTTACCATGTCGTCTTTCCCCCCCTTTTTTTAAAGAGACCTATGGGTCACCAAATAAGGGTAGGTTTTCAGCTTTAGGGTTTGCTTGCTTATTGCCTTTTTGGGCATGGCTAGCACTGCTGCCATTATGTATGCTGAGTTTCTCATGTACACAGCCCCCTCTCCCCCTCCTCCATTTACATATGCAAGTGGAGCTCAGTGGGGAATGAGTTACCCTGCCTGTAATGTTCATTTACCCTGCACTAAGGGATTACTGACCCTGTATTAACTGAAAACAAGCTCCCTTCTATCTTGATTCTCATCTGTTTTATGTTCTGTTTGTAGTGCGATATTTGGGTTGAAAGAGAAGCAAACTTGGATTCTCAAGCTCCTCCTCCCTTGTTGCAGTGAAAGAAACTTCTGTGTGTCCACAGGGGGAGTACACATTTAGTGGAGGAAAATAAATGATAGGTTACTTTTAGTGTCATCTTTTTAAAATGTCTGTGGAACCAGTGAAGGCTGTGCATACTTGGATGATGATGTAAGGCAGGGGAATAATTCCACTACATTTTTTTCCAGTGGTGACTTCCATTTCTGCAAATGCATTGTTTTGTAAAATTGGGAAACAAGATGTTAACCGGAAAAGTTATTTCTTATTCTATATACATTTTATTTATGATTTTCTGTTTTATTTCTTGTAACTAAGAAATAGAGCGTGAGTTTACTTTTCTCCTCCTCACTCCCAATCTTTCCCCCCTCTTGTCTTTTTTAGATGTGTAAGCTGGAGGTCAGTCTTTTCATTGACATATGTAACTAACCTGCTTTGGGGACCCCCCCTTTTTTTTTTTGGCAGCAGAAATACTTTAAAGAAGTAAAATGCCAGTCAGATGAAGGCAGTTTCTATTTTTGTAATTAGCTTTCCCCCTCCCCAAGCGGCTGAGTATTTATCAGCCCCTCACTGAAACAAATCTATTTGTAAATGGGATAGCATGAGTGAATGGTAAATCAGATTAGACATAATTCAAGAATGCTAAATAGATACCTAGTCAGTTTTGTGCTCGGGGGGGGGTGATCCCCCCCAAAGTCAAGTGCTGTAGGAAGCCTCACTTGAACAGTGGGGATTACTTTTGAGCAAAGGTTCATAGGATTGGCCTGCACAGAAACTCAGGCTTAGGGATAGTAAGAGAATTCAATGCTTTTAGACTAAAGTGGGTGTAAGTGGAGCCATCCTTTCTTTGGTTTACTGAAAAGGGTCAGGCGTAAACCCTCTTGAATCAGAGCTAGGCTTCCTTTAGTAGATACTATTGTGAAGTTTGTGCTTGTGTGTAGACACAGGTTCTGCACATGCTTCTCCATTTGTCATCTGCAGGCGTATAAAGACAGGAAGTGCTTTTTAAAAATCTAGGCTACGTCAAGACAGACTTGATATTTTGTGTGTGTGTGTCGAAAATACCAGCAAGAACTCTCTTACAAAGCAGCACTTCTCAAAGTGTGGGTCCTAATGTGTTCCTGGGTGGGGGCTTGGTATGATCAAGAGCAGGAATGGAGACCTGTGGCTCTCCAGATGTTGGACTCCAACTCCCATCAACCCCCACCAGCATGGCTAGTGGGTTAAGAATTATGGGAGTTGTAGTTGAACAACTTCTAGAGGACTGCACATTTCCCATCCTTATTCTATAGAGATGCTACAGTTGTGATTAGTTTAGATAACCTTCACACTCCTAGGATGCTATGATTCCTTCCATTTCAATTGACTTTTTCCCTTTCACTAAACCAGCAGCACTTCATTCCTGACTTTTAACAAGTCACCTCCCTCTGTCATCCTTAAATTCCATTCAGATGAATGCTGTGTTGATCAATCAATAGTAAAAATCAAAACGTATTCACTGTTGACTACTGATGCGATTATTCAGTAGCAAGGGTTCAAAAGAGTGGAGTTGGAAACATGTTGAATTTCTGGTTCATGCTTACAAATGGTGCGTTCTCTTTTTAGGAAGATCACGGACAGTGGGAGAACTTTTAGCCCCAGCTTCTCCTTTCGACAAAAAGTGTGGGCGTGAAAACTGGACGGTTGCCTTTGCTCCAGATGGCTCCTACTTCGCTTGGTCACAAGGCCATCGCATAGTAAAACTTGTTCCTTGGTCTCAGTGCCTGAATAATTTGTGAGTACAGCCTGTTTTGAAAATAGCTTTGTTTCTGTTTGTCGTGTGTTCTTTACAAAAATCTCTGAAAACAGTTTGTGTTGAAAGCAGTTTTTTAAAGTTAACAGACGGTCTTCCTACTTGAAAACAAATTGTGTCATTTCAAAATAATTGGTTTTGCAAGTCTGTGGTCCTCCAGATGGTGCTGAACTCTATAAGGAAAAGAGCCTGCAAGATCAGGCCAACTGCCCATCTAGTCTAGCATGCTGTTCTCACAGTGGCCAACCAGCTCCCTCTGGGAAGCCTGAAAGCATCCGCACCCTCTCCAATTGCAATGGACAGACATTCATTATCCAACAGGGGAGGTAGAATTTCAACTCTCCAACCCTCATGAACCCAGTTAGCACAGCTGATCATCAAGGATGATGGGTGTAGTAGCGAGAAAACCACAGGTTGATTACCCTGTGCTAAGCCATGGCTTAGTGTGATATGTGTATACATGCCCTCCCTGCTCATGCAACTGGGAGAAAGCTTTTGTTTTCCCTTAATCATGATTTGTCATGCCATCGGATATAACAAACAGATTAATTTCCAACCAGACAGCTTCAAATTGTGGTTTCTGAAGCTGGCCAAAAGTGGAAGCTTCTAGATGCGTAATTTCAGAAGTGCAGATGGATAGGCAGAGCGCATGAGCCTAAAGCTTGCTGCAACTCAATCATGGTTTAGCGTGCCATGTGTAAGCATAGAATGCAAACCAGAGGTGTCGAAACAATTTGTTCAGTCTGCTTTTTAGGAGGAACGACCCAATCAGTGCTATTTAAGTTGCTTGCAAGTTGGAACGCAACTCCCAGTTGAACTGTGCACATCTTCAGATTTTGCTGTGCGGTTTCTGTACTCAGAAGTTACACACGCAATATTTTACGTGCAAAGTGTGTGTTTTATGGGGAAATGCACTGACAAATGCATATTCCATGCCAGTATACAATTTAAAAGCAGGCTTTTCACGTGTCATTTCAAAAACCCATGTTTTCAGAGCAGTCCTTTGCAGATTAACTCTTAAGTTCCATGGGATCTACTCTCAGGCCACTAAATGTGCATACCATGCCAGCCTTAGGAAGGGAGGTGTCCATGGTAGAGACTGTACAAACCATACTTCATTTTGATGGTAACAGGGGTGGGGGTTGGATTAGATGACCCTGGGGTCTCTTCTATGATTCTGTGAATCCAGAAGCATTGCTGCCTCTCAGTGTTGAGGCAGAACATGAGAGCATGGCCATCGTGGTTAGTAGCCAATCAACAGCCCTCTCCTCCTCCATGAATTTGTCTTAAAGCCACCCAGTTGGTGGCCAGCACTACCTCCTGTGGAAGGGAGTTCCACAGTTTGTGCTCCATAAAAGCTAACGTGGTCTAGTGGACAGAGGTCTGGGTTCATTCCACCTCCATGTTCAGTGCTCTCTCTGCTTTGGTTCTTGCAGTAGCAGTGACCTAATTCATAAGGTTAATGGGGAAATAGTAAAACCTTTACTGTTGGAATTTGTCAGTTTCCCCCATATATTGAACAAGTTTTCATTAGTAGGTTGGCCTACTCTGCATGGAGAGAATATTATCTATAGCCCCCCCCCCCCCACACGAATGATGGTTTGAGCTACAGCTGGTGTCAGCTCAATGGTCAGGGATGCTGGAAGTTGCAGTCCAAAGTATCTGTAAAGCATTAGCTTTGGGAAAGCGTGCTGCATATCGACTGATTTTATCAACGTTGCTGTTTGTGTCTACAATGACTTGGAGAGTTCTTCCTTCTAAAAGGTTGGTTTGTTTTTCCCTCCCAGTTCATTGCATGGCGTAAAGACTTTCACCAATTTAAGCCATTCCAAACTTTCGAGGCAGAACAGCAATGGAGACCAGAAAAACAAGCCCAGTGAGCACGTCATAGATTGCGGCGACATCGTCTGGAGTTTGGCCTTTGGATCTTCCGTGCCTGAAAAGCAGAGCCGGTGTGTGAATATAGAATGGCACCGGTTCAAATTCGGCCAAGACCAGCTTCTCCTGGCAACGGGCTTATCCAATGGTCGTATCAAAATATGGGATGTCTATACAGGTAAGGAGCACCCTGGTTGTAGAAAATAAATTCAGTTTGCTTTCTTTCTAAGAACCAGGGAAGGGTACCTTAAAATGTGATTCTGATGCCTGAAAGGGCTCCAGTTTTCCCTGCGGACAATTTCCAAATTCATGGAGCGTGGATCTGTCAACAGCTTTGGGTTGTGGCAGATAAATAGAACTTCCGGGTTTGGAGTCATGATGGATCTGAGAAATGAAGGGGCAGGTTGCTGCCATGATGACATAAAACCTCCCTTTTGATTTCATCAGAAGGATTTCCCCCTCCTAGCCTAATAGCCACACAGGCGGAGAGGGTGCAGGACTGATGGAGTGGCCTGGCACACCTGGCCTACAGGTCTGTGGTTGTGTTCATCCCCAATGACTCTGAACTTTCCTTGAATTAGGCTGGGGAAGTATTGGCCCATAAGCCACTCTTGGCTGGCCGGGGGATCCAAATTGACAGCCCACGATGCTGTTCCATCTTGTATCATCTGATGAGTGGGAGGATGTGGCAAAATCCTGCCTTGGCTGTGTGCACCTGTCCCCAGCAGAGAATGGATGCACAGCCCAACTGAGCAGATGATGGGGGGGGAATAAGTCATGCTCAGTTTGGCAGGATCCCATGAAAAATGGATTGCATCAAAAGTAACTAAAACAGAGGAAGAAAACTGTTTTCGCAGCACCTTGCAGGTGCTTTGAAGTCCTGATTTCGGTGTGTCCCCATTCTGCTGTCAAAGTCTTGATAATTATCTGATCCATAGAGTCGAAAAATGACGGGCTTAAGTGTTGAGCTAGACAAATTCTTGGTCTTAACGTTGCACACATTTTGCACCAGTCATTAGCGAGATAATTTGGGGGTTTGTGGTTGCGGTTGCTTTTTTATTAGTTGTTGTCCTCTCTGTTCCCTTTTATATGAATTTCTCTGATCGCTGGAGACTGTCTTTACAGTGGCAGTTTTCACCCAGTTAGCTTCTGGTCTGGGTGAAAAATCTGTACCTTTAGAACGGAAATTGTAACGATGCACTGCGTAGGACAGTGTTTAAATGTCAAGCAGACTGCCAAGTTCCTTGAGTTTCAAAGTAAATCTTTGCACTGCTTAGAAGATAAGCTTTCCTGGCAAGAAGTCTAAAAGCTTATCCAACAGATAACGCAAGCATATTGGTTTAACTGAAATATGTTTGGGATCAACAAATAACGTATTAAAAGTACTGTGTAAGACAGCCTTGCATTTAAGCACTGGCCTGGTAGCCATAGACAACAAGGAATTTGATAGAAGGCCTGTGGGTGGGTGGAGAAGAGATGGATTACACCATCCTTCCTCTGCCAGCAAGCAAGTAAAAACATACTTCCAGGCTGGTAACTGTTACTTACAAGACTGGCACAATATTTGATTTATCAAAGGATATGTATCCTGCCCTTCCACTCCAAAGTGGATTTGTTTAAACCTGCTTACCTGCATGTAATTTGTTTCCCAACAGCCCTAAACGTTAATAAATGTAAAATAACACCCTGTTACTTGCAGAGTACACATCTGCTGCAGTACACCCTGCACATTTAAAGCACCCCCCCCCAAGGCTTGGGAACTGTAGTTTTCCCTTCAAAGAGCTATTTGCAATTTCTAGTGTCCTTAACAAACTACAGTTCCCATGGTTCTTGGGGGTGGGTTTTTAAAAATGTGTGTTGTATATGTAGCCCTTGTAACACATCAAGGCTTTTGTTTGTTTTTAACAATAGTAAGTATTTAAAATGTTAATACAGAAGGAAGAATGCCGACTTTTCCTCCAAGAGTTGCAGTAAGAAAATAAGCCTTTTTCCCTTTGTTCCTGACTTTCCAGGTTTAATTTTAAAATATTTTATTCCAACAGGAAAGCTCCTCCTTAATTTAATGGACCATACAGAAGTTGTCAGAGACTTAACCTTTGCCCCCGATGGCAGCCTGATACTAGTGTCTGCTTCACGAGACAAAACACTAAGAGTATGGGACCTGAAGGATGATGGTATGTTATCAGGAACGTTTTGCGTGGCGTAACAAACAACAGGGACATGATTTACTGTCTAGCAATGGAAAGGGACGCGGGTGGCGCTGTGGGTAAAACCTCAGCGCCTAGGACTTGCCGATCGCATGGTCGGCGGTTCGAATCCCCGCGGCGGGGTGAGCGCCCGTCTTTCAGTCCCAGCTCCTGCCCACCTAGCAGTTCGAAAGCACCCCTAAGTGCAAGTAGGTAAATAGGTACCGCTTTATAGCGGGAAGGTAAACGGCGTTTCCGTGTGCTGCTCTGGTGCCGGTTCGCCGGAACAGCTTCGTCACGCTGGCCACGTGACCCGGAAGTGTCTGCTGACAGCGCTGGCTCCCGGCCTCTAGAGTGAGATGAGCGCACAACCCTAGAGTCTGTCAAGACTGGCCTGTACGGGCAGGGGTACCTTTACCTTTAATGGAAAGCTATGATGCATTAGTAAAAAAATTTTTTTTGATGTTTTGAGATTGTTTTCTTTATATACAGCAAGTTCAAATGGTATTTGTAGAGATGTTCCCAGTGTCCCAGATTTGTCTGTCTATAATATCTGCCGGCCTTCCAAAATTCTCCTCGCAGATAAGCATGCACACATTAGATCTAAATTCTTGACTAGAAACTAGGCTTGCGAACCACACCTTGATCCTTGTTTGCAAACCAGAATTCTAGCTGGGGTTTTAGAGTTTCTCATTTTGGATAGAGCAGCTTTTATTTTTGTTAAGTAGTGTGTGTGTATGTGTATGTGTGTATGTATAGAGCACAGATACTCTCCAGCATTTTGACTTCACTCCCAAAGGCACTCTCCTCTATTGTCTCTTGAGACAGACAGATGTCAACAGCAGCAGCACAGATAAATCATGGACTCAAGCTGTTTAGGGCTTTGGCAGGTTCTCTGAAGGACTGCCTTCATCCAATCCTGCCTTCAAGCTTAGCTCTACCGCAAGGGCCAGATCAGCTAGGCTGGCATGCATAAGAGACCAAGCCTTCTTGGTGGTGGCTCCCAAAACAGTAGACTTCCCTTTAGTGGCCTTGTGTCTTCAGCTCTTGCATTTAGGCAGACCTTGAAGATCTTCCTCTTCGTGGCAGCCTTTCCCTGATTCCGAAAGAAGCTTGCATCTCCAAAACTAACCTGTACATGTGTTCTGCTGTGACTCTTTTCCTTCTGCACTTCCTTCTGTACCTATTGGGGGAAGGACCATGGTTAGAGCATCTGCTTTGAGTGCAGAATGTCCAAGGCTCGATCTACAGGTAGGGCTGGGGGTGTCCCCAGTCTCAAACGTTGGCGTTTTAATGTAGACAACACTGAGCTTGATGGACCAGTGGCTTCCTTTGTACTTTGCTTTGTGAGGCTGTAGCTCTTGGAAGCACCTCAAATTATTTCAAGTGAAATATGAGTGTTTGATACTAAACTGGCTTTATTCCCTTCCCTTCCATTTTCCAGGAAATATGATGAAAATATTAAGAGGGCACCCAAACTGGGTCTATAGCTGTGCTTTCTCTCCAGATTCTTCCATTCTCTGCTCTGTGGGGGCCAGTAAAGCAGTAAGTATCAAAGTTTCATGTTCTTCAACCTGTCTTTGATTGTGAGCAAAGAATTATCTTGAATCTTAAGAATATAGCCAGCTTGTGCTCTGTGTCATGCTGGATGATGATGATTTAAGGAATTGCATGACAAAAACATTTGTAGTAAATTGGCACCAGGCTTTCGTTCGGTTATCATTTACTGAGCTGAACTTTTTATTGCTTTTAGTCTCAATAAAGTTGAGGAATCTTGCAAAGTAGCCATGCATATCTCCATCTGTTCCATGACTTAAAAGAGAGAGAGAGGGCACAAACGTTTTGCTTAAGAAAGGAATAGTTTTAGAGTAATACTTTGTGACTCCTGATATTCTGTTGTCACGCTCATTTGAAAGATTACTTTTCCAAAGCCTGGGCTGCTGATCTTACTTGACAGTAAAATGTCATTCTTGGACAGTTTCCAACAAACTGCCCTTGAGCTCTCAGTGCTTTGGAAAGGATGAGCAGTGAGTTTTGCATCAAACTGCGTTGTGCTGCCGTACTTGCAAAATGCAACACAGGGCAGTCAAAGAACATAGAGTGAGCTGCTGCTTTGTATAAAGCAGGAACAAGGCACCTGTCGCCCCCCCAGGTGTTGTGGGGCTATAGCTCCCATCATCCCCAACCACTGGTCTTGGGGGGGGGGGGATAAGGAATGGCCAATGCTGCTAAGAGCGAGAGCCCAACAACATTTGGGAGGCTGAAGGTTCCCATCCCTGATATAAAAGTCTAGAATAGTGCTAAGTCTATAAAGTTGCAGTCCAAGACATGCTTATTTGAGAGCAAGCCTGCACTGAATTACTTTCGAATAAGCATGCTGGGATTTGAGTTGTGTATCTTCTGTTCAGTTTAATATTAGAAAACTCCAGGTAGGGGTAATAGAAGGGTGGACAACTTGTATCGCCTGAAGCGTGAGGACTGGAGGTTTGTTAGAATCTGGAACCCTTAAATCCCATTTTAGGAGTTAAGTTTCTAGTCCACATGTTGGGCAGAAATTCTGAAAGTATAAAATTTACGTTTTTTTCAGAAGTTAGGCCTGAGTTGACTTATTACAACCCAGAGCCACCAGTTGCGAAATCAAATGTCACAGAATAAATTCACCAGCTGCCAATTGTAATGTTTTGTCACATGGATTAAAATGCCGGTGCTGCTCTTTATCAACTACCCACCCCTGAGACGGCCTTCGAGGTCGAACAAGTTGTCCATCCTCCGGGCTAGTAAAAATTGTGGCTTTCAAAGTTAGCAGCTTGAAGGTTAGCAGAGAGATAGTGTCATTTGAAAAAGAAATATAAAGAAAAGCCTATTGTGATTATTATTATTATTATTACTATTACTATTATTATTATTTTAAAAAAGGAAGCCTAGATAAGAAAGACTTATCGGTAAAGCCCTTTAAAATAGAACAGATGTAGATGTATGCATTGAACTTTTTTTTAGGCTGTGTGTTTTCCATAAGCTTCTTGCTTTCCCTGTCACAGGTGGTGGCAGCAATATTGGTGTGATTGAGGGTAAGCTGGCACCACTCAGACAAGCGCACATTGGTGTTAGCTGGGCAGAAACAGTGGCATCTCTGGCCACCAGGCTGGAGGCGAACTTTACCATAGGACGAAGTAACCTTGCATTCGACTGCAGGGTGTACTGTACGTACGCAGGTGCTGGTTGATGTCCACTTTCTGCTTCCCCCTCCCCCTTTCTTTTCCTTTTTATTTTATTTTAACGTTGGTAAAGAGATCCTCTGGCTCCTCTTAAAATTTTAACAATAGATATTTCCAATTCCTATGGAATTCTGGAGTCTCTTAATAAAACTGAGCCGGTCCCTCGTCGCTTACTGTGACGGACTTAGTAACGAAGTTTCAGTACAGTACAGCAGTGGCGTCACTAATTAATATATTTATTTACACCCTGCCTTAGTTCCCCACCCCCTGGACCAGTTTTATGTTTATTATCTCTGCCTGTTCCTAAAGTTCAGGGTGGCTCAACAATTTTGCATACATACATAATATATTATTTAAAAAACGAAAAAATATTCTATTCCGTAAAAAGGCTAAAAATTATATGCCAACCTGTTTTTGTAGCCACAAACCTTTGCTAGCTTGTTGATTGTATTACACTGAACTTTGTAGTGCAATTTTAAGATCTAAATTTTCCTGCACATGCTTAAACTTACTGACTACAGTATTAAGTATACAACTGCATGTGAAGTGTGCTAAGCCGTGCCTGTTTGTGTAAACTGCTAATTACTGAGACCTTTTTAAATTATTATTTTTAAAAAAAAAAAATCTTGGCAAATAGCAGTGCTTGATTTTTATTTTTGTTCTTTTTCTTAAAAAAAATTAAGCTTAAAATGTGTAATATAATAAACTTGGTTTAATTTCTGGGTTTTTTTGCCAAAGTCATGTCGTTTGGCTGTGACAATTCCTTTTTTGCTTGCAGTATCTGTTTCTCTTCCTAGGCTGACGTTGGTGATCCAAGCCTATTGTAAACAAGTGATCTTAAACTCACAGGGGATTCCACGGGAGTAACCATATGTTAACCTTACTTTTTTTTCTGTCTGTATATTTCTTAAAATTTTGTTAGTTAATTGGAAAGGGGGGGGCGGATGTTAGTACTTAACCCAGCTACTGTATACATATCTATATATTCTTTTACTTAAAACAGTTAAAGTAATAACATGGGATTCAGTAAAACCACCATTGTTGATGTAAACGTTTTAATTTTTTGGCTTATTTTTATAAATAACACTTAATATGCATGTTTGCTTTAATTTAAATAATTCTGAGTATGGCACTGAGCATTTTCCGTAATTGTAGTAATTCTTAATGCTTGGCTTTAGTTGTAATCCTCAGTAAAACTAGCAGAAAACGTAGTTTTGCAGGGAGCGGGGTGGTGGGAACATGTTGGTGAAATGTCCCCTCTGTGCCTGGGCATCGCTATAACATGAGCTTGTTTTGATTGCAGGTGTTGCTTTGGGATATGGATAAGTACACTCTCATCCGAAAACTGGAAGGGCACCACAACGATGTTGTAGCCTGCGAGTTTTCTCCTGACGGAGCTTTACTGGCTACGGCATCTCATGACACCCGTGTTTGTGTCTGGGACCCGCACACTGGAGCTGTTCTGATGGAGTTTGGGTGAGTGAGTTGGGTGGGGTGGGCACAGGAATAATCTTAAAAACTTGCCCACCTTTGGCATTCTTTATTTTACAAGGGCAGCCTCTGCTTAGATTTGTACCAGGTTAAGAAGAATCGGACGAAGCCAGGAGCCGGTGTTGTTCATCGGACAGCTCTCGGCTGGGAGGGAGGACTGGGTTCAGGTCCCACCTCAGCCAGAAATGCGTTCAGTGGCTTACTTTAGAGAAGCGACTCCAGTTCTCCAGGTGTGAAATAGGGATTAGTGAATAGCAAAATAGAAACTTGGGGACCCCAGTTCACTAGTAGAGAACACGCTCTGCTGGCACACATTAAGAATGGAGTGTCAGGCGGGGTACAAGGCTTGAAAGACTCTTCTGCTTGGAGGCCCCAGAGACCACGGCTAATCACTGAAGATTCACCAACTGGTGCCCACCAGACGCTTCGACTCCCATCGGCCCCAGCCAGCATGACCAACAAATCGGGGACGATGGGAGTTGGATGTTCAGCAACATCTAGAGGGCACCAGGTTGGGTAAAGCTGGTAACTGTTTTTATTTCATAAAAGTTGCGCACTGCTTGATTGGTTTTTGTGTGTGTGTTTTAACTCCTCAAAGCAGTTGACATACCTTCATGCCCGTACGTGTGTGTGTGTGTGTGTGTGTGTGTGTGTGTGTGTGTATGCGCAAGCCATGGTTCTCTTGGCTTAACTATGGCTTGTTTGTATATTCAGACCCACCCCAGTCAGCTAGCTTATGGTCAGTTTGTGGCAACAGAGCAGAATGTGGAACTGACTTGCATCTAATGTTAGTCTTTCTTGGGAGCAGACACATTGAAATTAAAGGACATGAGTAACTTAGATCTGTTAACTTCAAACTTAGATCCATTAATGTATGAAGGCTGTGTGTGCCCGCCTTCCATTCCAAATGCATGGCTTCCCTCAAAGAATCCTGGGAGCTGTAGTTTATCCCCTCACAGAGTTAGAATTCCCAGCACTCTTAGCCAACTACAATTCCCATAATTCTTTGTCCCTTAAATACGTGGAGCGTACACAGCCTTAGTCCTGGCAAGCCCTGTTGAGTGGCTTTTGGTTAATGATTAAACGCAGAGCAAATGTCCCGTGAACCAAAGTTCTTAATTTCATCCTCAGGCATCTGTTTCCCGCACCGACTCCAATATTTGCTGGGGGAGCAAATGACCGCTGGGTCAGATCTGTATCTTTTAGCCACGACGGACTGCATATTGCGAGTCTTGCCGATGATAAGTAAGTATGGCAAAGCACGGCTTGGTTCCGCTGGTTCTTGCTGGCTGGGAAATGAACTTTTGTGCAGTGTCTTTGAGGGTGAGGGAAGCTTTCCCCCTCGCGGATGACCGGCGCTTGAATTAGGCAGATAAGGGGAAATTGGCCAGAATTATTTACCTACGCAACCCAAGGGTCTTCAAAGCGCCCCACAAGCACACAATTTTAAAACGCAGTTGAATGCAATAATCAGATGAGCTGCACAATGAAACAGCACAGTCAGCAGGAGAGAAGATGAAACTTTAAACTCAAATTAGAATGATTAGGTGGTGTTGCCTTGCTGGTGATTATGGAATCCTCAGCTGACTTGGCCCAGTGATCAGGGTAATGGAAGTAGCAGCTCAGAATACCTGGAGGTCACAAATTGGAAGAGTGGTGTCTGTAATAACTCGTGGGCAGATAAATAAGAGCCATGGAACCTCAGATTGTCTGCTCAGCCACATAAAGCCCGCAGCAAGAAAGAAACTGGGGCAGAAGCTAGAGTCACGACTTCATCTGAAGTTAATTGAGCAGTTTCTCAATATTGAACAGTTGTCTGGCAAGTTAGAACCTGCTCCTATGTAAACAGTCATTATGCGATAGGAGACAATCTGACAGCTGGGCATGTGGCTTTCCGGCACCTTTGTCGAGGGGTTGCTGAAAAGTGCCCTGTCACAAGACGCAGGAGTGGGCTCACTTGCGCAAGCAAGCTTCCTTCTAAAACCTTTCTGCAACATTCCTGGAGACCTGACACATTTTATCATTGAGGTATTTAGACCTTTGGTCTGAATTTCCTTGAGCAACGGGGAGGGAGAGTATTGCTCTGACACGTGGCAGAATGAGGAGGAAGAATACCGGGGCTGTATCGTGGTATATACCATTTCAGACTGCATTTAGGGGATCCCTACATTGCCTTCCGTTATATGACATTAACCATGGGCTTGCTCACTTGCAGTGGATTCAGTCACTCAGGACACACAGTTCTTCCTCACCTGATCCATGCAGATCCAGGGGGTGGGTGTCATCATCCCCAACCCACCTCTTCACACATAATCGGTGAGGATCAAGGAGGAGGAAAATCTTACCTCCCCCATTCCTTTTCCTCACTGGTGCCAAAATCAGCAGGTTGGGTGGATACAGGGGTGCTTATCCATCCCCTAGGCCAGGGATTAACTATTCTTCCTTAGAAATGAATTGAAGGCGTCCTAAACTTTGTGGCTTTCCTAAGGCCCTGCCAGTGAGGTCATGCTTGGGTTGAGTCCAAGCACACCCAACGCGGGAGGCCTGGCTGGATCTCCCAAGTGCATTTTCTCCCCCTTTAAACTACAGGCAGCTTCAACTTCAATTCCAGCTGTTGTGCAGAGGCTGGGGTGTCTAACCTCTTCCCCGTTGCTATTTCAAGCTTTAGGTCTCCAAGCTGCAGCACGCACCCCCCACCCTTCCTCCCCAGTATTGGCACAATATTTTCCTGGTCTTTCAGCAGCTTGACAGGAGGTCAAGAAAACCGGAGGAGGACTGGCAGTGGGGAGAGGAAAACTTAAAACGCCCATATTCCCAGATCAAAATCCCGCCATTTAAAAGATTAAAAAGGTGGGGGAAAGTGATCCAGTTTTGTATTGCCTGCATCACATATGATTGAAGGGCCTGTACGGTTCCCAGCTAACTGCTTGGGCTGTCAGCCAACAGTGCTGCATCAGCTCTTTGCTGCGGCACTTGCAAACCACCAGGACCTTCAGTTTTCAGTCCAGAATGCCCTGGATTTATTTTGGACCAACGGCTAGAATGTGCATGTCGCCTTAGGCCTCGCATCAGTCCCTGCTCCTCTTGCTGGCGCTGCAGTGAGACGGCTTCGTTAATTTGCTCATCTTCATCGTCCCTCTCTTCCTCCCTAGATGTCTTCAGCAACCAACGGAGCTGCATCAGCTTCCAGCTGTTGCTCAAATTAAGCATAAAGTTTAGCAGTGATGATAAAATAGAGGCTGTCAACTTAACCTGTTTGCTCTCTTTTCAGGATGGTGCGGTTCTGGAGAATTGACGAAGACCACCCTGTCCAGGTTGCACCTCTGAACAATGGGCTTTGCTGTGCCTTTTCTACTGATGGCAGTGTTCTAGCTGCTGGGTAAGCAGACCTCAAAGTAATAATAATAATAACAATCGCAAAACATGCATACTCCACTGGCAAGGCAGTTTCTTAAAAGCCAAGTGGATATTTTAAAAGAAAACCTCTCTGGTGTTATTTATATATAAATATATGCACTGGGGCCTGTTTCTCTAGTTGCTGCTTGGAAGTAACTACTTAAAGCAGTCGCCATCAATGCTGCTTGATAGATAATCCTCGAATAAAGAAATGTGTGAGCCTTTGATGGCAGTAAATGGTTTTGATCTGGAAAGTTTCCTCCTTCTGACGGAAGGGCTTTTTTTCTGTTGAAGGAAGAGAACCTTTTGACCCCACTCAAATTGTCTACAGCTATTGTCAATCTGGCACACCATCCAGATGTTGTTGGACAGGGGCCAGCAAACTTTTTCAGCAGGGGGCCGGTCCACTCTCCCTTGTGGGGGGCCGGACTATATTTTTTGGGGGGAACGAATTCCTATGCCCCACAAATAACCCAGGGATGCATTTTAAAATAAAAGCACACATTCTACTCATGTAAAAACATGCTGATTCCTGGAACGTCCGCGGTCCGGATTCAGAAGGCAATTGGGCTGGATCCGGCCCCTGGGCCTTAGTTTGCCTACGTATGTTATTGGACATGGGGCAGCAGGTTGGCAGGGCTGGTTCTAGACCAGTGTTTCCCAAACTTCAGCTGTTTTTGAACTGCAATTTCCCTCATCTCTAACCACTTGTCCTGCTAGCCAGGGATGATGAGGACTGAATCACATGGCGCGTTGGGGGAGCCTAACAGACTTCCATGTTTTATTTTGCTTTTGCCTGCAGGACGCAAGACGGAAGTGTGTACTTCTGGGCCACTCCCAGGCGTGTTGCCAACCTCCAGCACTTGTGCCGCATGGCCATCCGGCGAGTGATGCCCACCAGCCAGGTGCAGAATCTGCCTGTCCCTCCCACAATTGTGGCTTTCCTTTCCTACCGGATTTAGAAAGTAAATTGGAAAAGGGGAGGAGGAGAGCAGTCTGTCTGGCATGTGGGCGAAAGAGAACCTCAAGCTTTTCGTAAGCCTTTTTGAGCTGAACACTTCACATGTTTCGGTCGTTATTTTTCCTTAAGAATAAAGAAGGGGAGTTTCCTTAAAGACGGTATTTATAGAGAAGATCAGTAGAGGTGTTTCTGAAAGCGCCAGACTTTTCTAAAGAAATTCTAACTGTGAAAATCTGTAAATAATTAGATGTTAGCTGCTATGTATTACCCGTGTATATCATTTGTGATTGCTTTTTTAATGTAGAATATAGCATGTATATAGGTATGTGTGTTTGTGTGTGTATGATACATATATACGCGTGCACACAAACACACACAGATATATATATAGATTCTGGAGCCACAAGCTGTATTGGTGCTGTGTATAGAGTGGTGTTTGTGGCTCAGGGATAGGAAAACAAAATTTAGTGGCTTCTGTATGTTGTGCATTTTTGGCAGGGGGCTCTCAAAATGGGGCCCTGGGTTGTGTACATCTTGTGTAGCAGAAGGAGTGAATTTCCTTGAGGCCCACAGCACGGGAGAGGAAGAAAGCTTGATTTACCAGACACGTGTCATCTTCAGGGAGGCCTTAATTTTGCCACAAATTGAATGGTGAGTGTCCAGGATCGCTTGGGAGTCCTTAAACCTTTGAAATCCAGCTACTGTATTAAATCCTGGCAACTTCTCTATCAGATGTGACTTCTTCACAGGCTCAGGGTTCCCACCCTCCACCCCCCCAACACTTCAGTCAACCTTTGTCATTTAAAGGGGGTGATAACTGGGTGAACTACCAAAGACATGAAACCATTCTTGTTTTCATATGCTTTTGCCTTCTGTTCATCTGGACTTGCAGATACAAAGAATGTATGCATTGCATAAAATGCCTGATTATATATATTTCTTCTTTTTTTGTATTAAAAAGTTGTTACAAAAAAAATACACCACCCTACAGAGTTTTGAAAAGCTGGTTTGTTTGTTTGTTTGTTTGTTTGTTTCGTGTGAGCTGCATCTTGAGTTTGAAAATGGGAATGACAGAGAAGAAAGCGAAGGAATATGTTTGCTGACTTCCTTTTCCATCTAAATCTGGTGTGGGGGAACCTTTGCTGAACCGACAACTCCCAACTGGCCATTGAAATGTTAGGAGGGCTGTTGCCTAACATTTCTGGCTCCCAACAGTGAAGAGAAACAGTAGCTGTCATAATAATAATAATTTATGATTTGTACCCCGCCCATCTGGCTGGGTTTCCCCAGCAACTCTGGGCAGCTTCCACAAAGACCAAAAATACACTAAGATGTCACACATTAAAAACTTCCCTGAACAGGGCTGCCTTAAGATGTCTTCTGAATGTCAGGTAGTTGTTTATCTCTTTGACATCTGATGGGGTGGGCACCACTACCGTGAAGGCCCTCTGCCTGGTTCCCTGTAGCTTTGCTTCTCGCAATGAGGGAACCGCCAGAAGGCCCTCAGCGCTGGACCTCGGCGTCCGGGCAGAACGATGGGAGTGGAGACGCTCCTTCAGGTATACTGGGCTGAGGCTGTTTAGGGCTTTAAAGGTCAGCACCAACACTTTGAATTGTGCTCAGAAACGTATTGGGAGCCAATGTAGGTCTTTCAAGACCGGTGTTATGTGGTCTCGGTGGCTGCCCCCAGTCACCAGTGTAGCTGCCACATTCTGGGTTAGTTGCAGTTTCCGGGTCACCTTCAAAGGTAGCCCCACGTAGAGCGCATTGCAATAGTCCAAGTGGGAGATAACTAGAGCATGCAGCACTCTGGGGAGACAGTCGGCATCATGGCTAGTAGACATGAATTTCTTGTGTCGCATGAATCTTCCTAACACTCTGGTTCACTGGATCTCCCCAAATTCTAGAGGTATGAGCAAGGAAGAAAAGCATCTCACTATATCCCTATTTCACCACCCCATAATCCTATCTGTTTACTTGCCTTTCTAAATGTTTAGCTCCAACTCTTTTATCATTTCGGGCACCTTTTCCGGTTCTGCGCTGCCATTTTAGTTGAAGCAATGGAATACAACACAACATTATTCAAAGTATGATCTCGCCAAAGTTCTGTATAATAGATTGGTGGTGAGCTGGGAGGGTGCCGCGATATCTAGGAAGGCCTTTGAGCCCAGCTCTTGGGATTGTCTCTGCAATCTGCCTGTTACTTCCCTTTATTCTCGTGGAAGAGGAGATTAAGCAGCTGCATCCGGTTAACAGGAACTGGCTGCAAAACGGGAACTTCAGAGCTGTGAAGCACGAATCACGCTGAAGGGAGAACCATGGCAGCCTGAGTGCGAGGGTGAAAACAATCCTTTGCTTGGGGGGCGGGGAGGAGGTAGAGGTAGATTTCTATCCCTTTGCATCCCTGCCAGCTATCAAGAGACCCAACTGCTCGAGTTTCTTGAGAACAGTGGCTGGAAGCTGTTGCAGTACAAGCAGTCAAAATAATGATTATAAACACTGCAATGAGCTGGCCTACTTGCAAAACTCCCTCCAAAATGCATGGGGCGCAGTGCCCATTACGAAGCAGCTGGTGTTAAGTTTAATGAAGCAGTTAATTTGGGAGCTAGACACTGGATTCAGAGGCAATGGCTGGGTGGGGGGCACTAGAGCACAGCCAGTTTTGCGTTTGTGCTGGGAGAGTGACAAGGTCACAAGGCTTTTCAGGTTTGCCAGTGCCCAGATGCCTGGGGGACTAGCTTTGCTGTCAATAGGAAGTGAGCAGGACCCTAAGATGGCGTAAGGCAAGAAGGGCTGCAGCATGTTGGCAAGTAGCACACTGCAAGAGCATGTGCACTAGGGCATGATGGGAGTTGTAGTCCAGAACATCATGAGGGCACCAGGTATGTGCACTAGGGCATGATGGGAGTTGTAGTCCAGAACATCATGAGGGCACCAGGTTGCTGAAGGCTGAAATGCAATAGAAAGTTAGCCTGCTGGGAAGAACTGGGTTGCCCCCCACCCTCCATTTCACTTCCCAAGGGTAGAGCCATGGAATATACTCCTGTGGGAAAAGGCCTAGACCAGTCTTTCTCAACCTTGGGTCCCCAGATGATGTTGGACTACAACTCCCATCATCCCTCAGCTCTGGCCTTGCTAGCTAGGGGTGATGGGAGTTGTAGTTCAACAAAATCTGGGTACCCAAGGTTGAGAAAGGCTGGCCTAGACTCTTACCAGCGCTTTTTAGAAAAGAGGTGCCTGTACTACGTACCCTTGAGTGCCCCCAGAAAAAAGCACTGATTATTATTATTATTATTTATTATTGGAGCAACAATTGCAACCCACTGTGCCAGTACAATAGACTCTGAAGAAGCCGAGTTAACTAGCTCAAAGAAGAATTCAGGCTGTCCTTGGAGATGTTGGGTTTTTATCTTGCTTAGCTCAGAGGACTGGACTGAAGCGGCTGGTGTATTCGGATCGGAGTGGAAATTGCCTGTGTGTGTTTCTGCATGGAGTGGCTCTGCATTGCTAAGTCTGCAAAATATATGCCAGGCTTTTTGTTTGTTTGCTCTCTGCAGTGCTGAGTGGTCCTGGGAGTGCCTTTGAGCTTAGCCAAAACCCATGTTCCAAATGTGGGGTTATTTTTACCATCTGCAAAGTGTGCGGAAACATGCAATAAAAAAGGGAAAAAAGGAAAAATCAGGAGGGAGAAAATAAAATCTGATTCGGCTCTGAAAGGAATGACAAGGAGTTAGCAAAGGAGCATCTGGGGACATCGTGTTTAATGTCCCCTCCTTTCCTGCTCTTTCTGCTCTCTTTGACAAGCAGGTTCTCTCTGGCAAGGGTTTTTCATAGTTAAAAAGCCAGATTTGATTTATTTACACCCCCCCCCCAGCAAAGCTTAGCTCTGGAACATGTGGCACAATGCTAATAAGTGAGACTGTCACTGGCCATGTACAGAGCTCAAGTGATCACCACAGACTGAGCCCTTAGACATCCAAAGTAATGGGATTGTCACTTTAGAAATTAAGCACAGGATAGGAACCACTTGGCACAAAGAGTCCTGGGAATTGTAGTTTACACCTTACAAAGGGTTTTCCCGATATTAGTCCTACTTAGATCACACCCATAGTGAACAATGGGCAGGATTAACTTGGGTGCATTAATTCCAGTGCATCGGCTCTGAATAAAACCAAATAAAACCCAGAGCTACAGTCCCTGGCGCCCTTAAACTACAGTTCCCAGTATTCTTGGGGTGGATGGAAGGAATGCACTTTAAATGTATGGTGTATACACAGCCTAAAGCGACTTGACCTGGGATGACTCCTTGAGGAGCGATGTCATCATCATCAGGGCTGCCTAAACTTGGGGAAAGGGGCAGGATGTTAACTTTATGCAGCAAAGCAACCCAGATTCTGTACCCAGAGAGAAGCAGATCAAACCCACAATATATGAGTTTGCTTATCATGAGAGTCAAGGAGGTAGCTGGAATGAACGAATGGAGAGGAGCCAAAAATTGCTGTGCCTTCAAGCTCATAATCTAAGAGACAAAAGGAAAACGTGTTGGGAGAGAGGTGGAAAAAAGCAAGCTCGCACACACCAATTTTTAATTTCGGAGAAGCTGTAGTGAATAGCAAAAATGGGAAATTGGAGAGAAGCCAAAAGTTGCTGGTTGCTAGCTTACTATGCCAGGCCCCAGCCTGCACTCATGAATCCTGGTTAAATCCCTGCAGACCCCGTCAGCAGATAGTTTTGACAGTGGGTTTAGTTAGGCAGTCTTCCTATACCTCCCAGAGTGGCGGGCTCATTTACATTTACCTTTAGATAAGTAATCAGGACCTCACTGAGAGGCCATGGAAATGTTATCAGCAAGGCTGGCCTTGTCTAACCACTGGAATGTAAGTGGTGATAACGGAGGCCATTTTGAAATGCTGGTGTGAAGTTTGAAATCTGGGAACAACTGAGGAAGTTTGGAGGCATTTTTTTTTAAGAGGGCAGATATCCCCCTCCCCTCACAACAGGTGTCCATCTATGCATCACTGAAAGCCTTAGCCTGCATTAGTTTCTCATGAGCAGAATGCCATATTTGCATTGTTAACAGATTCCTACTTCTCCCCCTGCCACATCAACATTTTGAGGTGATGAACAGCACTTATTATGGTTTAAAAGGTCACCTCAAAAGCTGCTGGTGTGCAGAAAAGAAAGAGGGAATGAGGGGCAGGAATATGCTCTGGAAATGAGCAATAGTGTAGCACCCTGCTTGTGGTTAACGCTTAGCTGGAATGAAATATTCAACGCAGCAATAGAGAAATTAAAATAATAATTTATTTGTCAGACAAATAAATGAGAGACACAGTGGTATATGGTTACCAAAGCTCTGCCCACTCCAGCCCTGATGGCCAGCACTTATATTTCCTCAGCCCAGCCCCCTTGCTCCTCCTTTGGCTGCCTCTGTCCAATCAGCCTGGTTGAAATTCCTACTGGCTGTTTGCTAGAACCAATCATAAAAGATACACCCATTTCCTATTACCTTTTATGGGAGACAAAGAGCTATATTTCCTTCTATCCATAAATGGCAGACAAGTAGCCATATACCTTACATTTGCCTTGACAAGGCACCTTAATTACCAGATCACCTTTGGCCCCTGCTGCCCCTTTATTCCAAAACAAATGGCTAAAACAGATGGCTCATGGTATTAAATCTTGTCTAAACAGAGATCTTGGGTTCACATTCTCACACACCATCAATGGAATAAGAATCTAACATAAGAATCTAACATTTCTTACTTTCTAAATCCTTTGCATAATTACATTAAGCCAATATATTTCATACATAACATAGATAGATTTTTAGAAGAAAAGGAACTTAGTAAAAACAGTTTCAAAAGCAACCTCTTCAATTTACAACTCCCTTTCCTAGCCAGCTGCTTTCCCAATTAGCTCTTGCCCTTTAACCTTAGGAAAATATGGCTCGAGTCTTCTGTTAAACAATAAAACTTACTATTTACCAACTCTTAATTAGTGTTTTTGCAGCTTGATTGTATTCTGTAATATGTAGGGTCACTGTAACCTTTGCTCCCAGCCTGTAATTTCCTTTTACAACTTTGAGGTACTCGTCTCCTGCTAATGCTATAAATCAGAGGGGCCCTGTTTAAGAAGATAAACATCTGCTAAAGTACTTAGCCAGCTGGTTTCTGCCTGGCATGAAAGATACAAACATTTACAAATATATTTTTTAAGCTCATTTTAAAAGACAGGTCTTGATCTGATGCCTCAATAGCTTTGGGAGACCAGCTCATCCCTGATGATCGAGGCTGCTAACAAGGGGCCTGTTTGCAACTGTCTGCAGCACCTGCTGCTCTCTGGGTAGCCACTTGCTTGGGCACTGCTGGCTGTGGAGCCCTGGACTTTGGTCTTGAGGTCCAACACGAGCCGCTCTGCTGCTTCATTTTATCACATTTGACCTGCGGTGGCTGGCACCCATTGGGAAGGGTGTGGCAGAAGTCAATAAGACCACACAGGAGGCAGAGCCCATGACAAGAGAAGCCAACTAACCCCTGGGACAGCTCAGGAGGTAGAGCACGAGACTCTTGATCTCAGGGTCGTGGGTTCGATTCCCGCATTGCAGGGGGTTGGACTAGATGACCCTTGGGTCCCTTCCAACTCTATCATCCTATGATTCTATGAACTCTGGTTTGCCCCCCATCTTCTTCCTCCCTGCTGAGGTCTGTGAGGAGAGTGCCAAGACTTGGGAAAAGAAGGAAACTGACCCAGGTAGGGCCACCCTCTGGTCTAGATGAGGGCAAGCAAGGCAGCTGTCAGAGGACAGGCCGAGTTTGGTGGGTTATGGTGTCCCAGCCACCCTATCAAAACATGTAGGGGCATGAGAAGAGCCTCTGTGTGTTTGTCGAATGCTCTTTTAAAGCCACCCAAATCGGCTGCCGTCGCTGGGTATTGTGGCAGCTAATTCCACAGTTTTAATAATGTGCCAAACAAGGCGAGGCCATTAGATCAGGCCAGTGGCCCATCTATAGCCCAGCATCCGGGTCTCACAATGGCCAACAAAGTGCTTGTGAGAAACCTGCAAGCAGGATCCGAGCATGAGAGCACTCTCCTGTCCTGTGGTTCGCAGTGACCGGTATTCAGTGTTGCTGCCTCCAACTGTGGAGCAGAGAAAGGGGCTGTGTCCCAATTGGAGAGGATTTGGGACACTTCCGGGGGAGATCGAAATAAACCAACAAAAATAAAACCCAGGATGTTTTTGTCAATTTGTGGTTAGCTCGTTAGTGGGACCGAGGGAAGCGAAAGCAGGAAATCAACACAACCCATCTATGTGCAAATTATCCTCCCTCCCCCTGTGGGTTTGCTGTTGCTAAATTCACCACTGGAAGTTACTCAATCAAAACCACAACTGTGTGTTGTGCAACCATTGGCTGGGTAGAGCCTTCCCCTCTTTATAAAAAGGTAAACCTATGTTGACAAAATATTACCTGAAGCTACTTGGCAAAGAAAGTATAATCGTAGCAGTTTGTTATTTACAAAGGCCCAGGCATCCCATAACGATAAGCCAGGTGTGAGGGAACCATTGGGCCTTCCAGATGTTGCCGAACTACAGTTCTCTTCAACTGCAGCAAGCATGGCCAATGGGAGTTGTAGTTCAGCAACATCGGGTTTCCCACACCTGTGCTAAGTAAAAAAAATGGCTTAGTGCAAGTGAGCAAACCATGCAGGTGCTTCCCTCAGCCCTGCTGCTGCTGTGCTACCTAGAACTAAGCTAAGGTTTGGCTTAGTATTATGACCAGGACAGGGATTGGGACCATCTGTGGACCTCCGGGTATTGCTGGACTCCAACTCCCATTGGTCCCAGCCGGAGGCCCTCTCACCAGCAAGTCCTTCAAGACCTGTTCCCCGCTTTGCTGGCCTGTTCCCAGCAGGCTGGCAAAGGAGGGGCCCCAATTCCAGCTACCGAAACTATTATTGCTGCTCCTAAAGTTGCCAGAGCCCCATCTGCACTGCCCCTTTAACTAGCTGTGTCTTCCATCTAAATAATCCTGGGACCTGAAGTTTGTTAAGGGCTCTGAGAGTTGTTAGGAGACCCCTCTTTCATCCAAGGAACTCAAGGTGGTTCTCTCCAATCTCACAAAAGTCCTGTGAGGAAGATTCAACTGAGAGGCTGTGACTGGCCCAAGCTACCTGCAAGTTTCATAGCCCAGCAGAGATTTGTACGCAGTGGTCTCCCGGGTCCTAGTCTAACACTCTAGCCCAGCCTTTCTCAATTTTGGATTGCCCAACGTTGTTGGACTACAACTCCCATCATCCCTAGTGAAAAGTCCCAACAGCCAGGGATGATGGGATTTGTAGTCCAGCCAAATCTGGGGACCCATGGTTGAGAAAAGCTGCTCTAACCACTACACCACACTGGCTCTGTCCTTAGTATGTAATACTAATTGGTGTAATAATGTATTTAGAAATACTGTGACAGCAGAAAATCGCCACAAGATCATTGTGTCTGAGTGTGCCCAGGCATAGATGTGCATGCTCCCCTATGTGGCAAGCCCCTGAATTGCAGGTGGCAGGTATTCAGTGCTTTCAGGCCCTAGGCTGACTTTTGACACCCAGTCAGGGCCAGCCCAAGACATTTTGAAGTGGACCCCCAAATTGTGCCATGGAAGAAAGGGTGAGGGAAGATTTGCCTCAGGAACAGGGAGTGGGGTATGTGTGTGAGAGGTTGACATTGGGATCTGCTGCTCCAGTGTATCCTGCCACCTGAGGCGGTTAAACTCACCTTGCCTCACGGGTGGGCTGGCACCTTGCCTCATTGGATCCTGGAGAGGAAGGAGGATAAGAAGGGAGGTGGATTTTCCTCAATTATTCCCTACAATGTGGCAGGTTAGGCCGAAGGGCAGTGGACACACACTGAGCTTCCTGGCCAAGTAGAGATTCGAACCCTGGTCTCCCCGGTTCTGGTGCAACACTCTAACCATTGCCCCACACCAGCTCTATATCTGGGTAGTTTTGGGGGGAGGTGGAGGGATGAAGAACCACTGATGTTTGGCGTTTAATGATTGCAACACAGCCTTGCAACATTTATCTTTCAGGAGGTCCACCAGAAGAAGACCCAAACATGTAACCTCAAAGTATCCCTATTTTCCAAGGACAGTCCTGGAATTACCAAAGCCACCCGGGGCTTCTGACTTGATCCCACAATGTCCCTTTCCCCCCTGCCAGCGCTGCTGCTGCCAAACTCGGGGATGAGGATGAGCCAGCACTTGTCCAGTGAGGCCCAGCCCTGTGTAATGGACCAGCCTTGAGGGGCAGGCAGAGGGCAAGGAGTCTTGATTAAAAAGACCCTGTCTGAGAGGCAGGGAAGCGGAGATCTCTCAGGGTGAGAGGCTGGCAGAAGAGGCAAATTCAGGTGAGAGATGGGAGAGTACATCCTTCTCTGTATGCGATGCACCCGTATACCTGTAACCCATCCCTCTGTAAAACCTAGGCTATAATTGCAGGAGAGGACTCTGTTTTATTTTAGCACTTTTCTTCTTTTCTCTTTTATTTTTAGTTTATTATTATTATTATTATTACAGTGGTACCTCGGGTTACATATGCTTCAGGTTACAGACTCTGCTAACCCAGAAATAGTGCTTCAGGTTAAGAACTTTGCTTCAGGATAAGAACAGAAATCGTGTTCCAGTGGCGCGGCGGCAGCAAGAGGCCCCATTAGCTAAAGTGGTGCTTCAGGTTAAGAACAGTTTCAGGTTAAGAACAGACCTCCGGAACGAATTAAGTACTTAACCCGAGGTACCACTGTATTATTATTATTATTATTATTATTATAATTGTAATGCAAAAAGTTTTAATAATAAAATAAAAATAAAGGAGTCTTGATTTTAAAAAATCACTCTGTGCGTCTGCGTCTAATCTTGCCCCTTTCTCAAATTTATTTATTGGGGTGTGTGTATGTGTGTGTGTGTGTGTGTGGTCTTTTTGTAAAAGGTATCAAACAACAAACTAAACTTGGAACTGTTGGGTTTTCCCCAGATGGTGGAGGGCATGTTTGCCGTGTCCCGCTGGTATAGCAGCAGCGGCACTCGCCCTTCTTCTGTTAGGAAATGCTTCAGGGAGGGGGGGGTTATGGGAGGTCGAGGAGAGTCAGTTGGGGGGGGAGTGATAAATGTCCCTTTTTTCACCTGAGGAATGTTGGGGGGTATGCAAGCACAGTGGATGATGTGACCTACTTTGCTCGAAACAGGTCTTTGATGACAATAGCAAGGGCCCTCCTTTCAAGACTGACCCACCCCCTTCCACCCCAATTTCTGGCCATTGTCTACGATTTCTGTTCCGCTGTGAGCTGCCTCTCAGTGAACACAGCAGCTCATTTCCTGTCCCGGCAGTGACACAGCTCTGCCTCTGGAATGGCTGCCCCGAAGCTATCAAGAGAAGGGTGTCTGTTCCGCCTCTCCTGTTTATGAAGACTCTTCTGCCAAAAACTGCTGCCTGTAGGTGGTGCCAGAGGATCAGAATGAATTTCCTTCCAGGTCCAGTCTAGCCCTACAAGCAACCCTCACAAGGCTGGTGCCTTCCAGATGTTTAGGACAACAACTCCTGGCTGGGGCTGGTGGGAAGCCACCCTCTGAAACAGATCGGCAAAGGCCACCTTGCAACCTGACTGCAATCATATAAATCAGGGTTTCCCAGACTTGGGTCTCCAGCTGTTTTTGGACTACAATTCCCATCATCCCAGACCACTGGTCCTGCTAGCTAGGGATGATGGGAGTTGTAGTCCAAAAACAGCTGGAGACCCTGCTGTAAGTGCTTATTTAAGCCACATTCACACCATATGTTTAAAGCACCGTGATACCATTTTAAACAGGCACAGCTTCCCCCAAAGAGTTCTGGGAGTTATAGTTTGTTTTGTTATTTAATTTTTACTGAGAATTTTTTTGAGGATATTAAACAGCATGGAGCAAAATCTTCTTCTTCTTTTTTGGTGATCACTTGTAGCCGAGAAAAATGTTCCATGAACATGGTTTTAACAGTGAGTCTGTAAATGACTTTACTCTAGAGGCAAATTCTGGATCTACATGTCCTTCCACAGTGGGGACATAGGTTTCTGGATGGGAGTTGATCATGGTGAGGGTTTGCCAAGCGTGCCTTCCTCTTAGTTCATTTCTCCCTTTCATCCTGAGTTTGAGCGTCTTCAGTTTCCCAATTGTCAGTGTTTATACTACATTTTTTCAGATTTGCCTTGAGAGAGTCTTTGAACCTCTTTTGTTGACCACCAGCATTACGCTTTCCATTTTTAAGTTTGGAATAGTGTAGTCGCTTTGGAAGACGATAATCAGGCATCCGCATAACATGATCAGTCCAACAAAGTTGATGTTGAAGAATCATTGTTTCGACACTGGTGATCTTTGCTTCTTCCAGTACTCTGGTACTTGCCTTCCCAGTGATGTGTAAAACTTTTTGGAGACACCGTTGATGGAATCTTTCGAAGAGTTGGAGATGGCGTTTATAAGCGCTCCTGTTTCACAAGCACACAGAAAGGTTGGTAGTACAATAGCTTTGTAAACAAGTATTTTGGTTTCCCTGCGAATGTCCCGGTCCTCAAATATCTTGCACTTCAATTGGGATAAAGCTGCACTTGCAGAGCTCAGGCGATGCTGGATTTCGGCATCTGTGTCAGCCCTTGTGGAAAGATAACTGCCCAGGTAGGAGAAGTGGTTGACACTTTCCAACATTACACCATTGAAATTAAACAGGATGGAGCAAAATAATAACTACGGATAAATGAAGGTTGCCTGCTTCTTTTTCTTGATAGGCATGATAAGGAAAGAGTTCAGCCGGTAAGCCATGAGACTCAATCTCAGGGTCCTGAGTTTGAGCCTCATGTTTGGCAAAAAAATCTGCATTGTAGGGGATTGGACTAAATGACCCCCCCCCCCGGTGGTTTCTTCCAACTGTACAATTCCATGGTTCTATGATTCTAAGATTCAGGGAGGGAGGTCAAGTGTCACCTTAGGGAAGAGGCGAGTAATGATGTTTAGGTAGTGGCTTAGAACCTAAGCGTTTAAGAAGCTCATTCTAAAGGACAAACGTGTTTGGGGAAAATGTCAGATCACAAAGGACGATGGGATTCAGGAGGAAGGGAGGCTCCTTGTGGACGTAAGACAAATTCCGTAAATGTGACTGAAAAGTATGGCTTACATTTCAGTCCCCCAATTTGTCTGCTACGTTCTATAAGTTTCTCAACCACTGCCACTTGTCAACCTTGTTCTAGCATCCAGCCGGAGAAAAATTGGTATGAGATGATCTCCAATGGTGTGCAACTTTTAGTCTGGCTGCCATTGCCAATAGCATAATCAAATATTTTGTACAAAGTGTTTTGCATATTTTATGGAAAGGCTAAACCTGGGCCAGTAGGGTGCGTCGTAGTTTGTTAAGGGTATTGCTAGGTAAAGGGGCCCCTGACCATTAGGTCCGGTCGTGGACAACTCTGGGGTTGCGGCGCTCATCTCGTTTTATTGGCTGAGGGAGCCGGCGTACAGCTTCCAGGTCATGGGACCAGCATGACTAAGCACATGGAAATGCCGTTTACCTTCCCACCGGAATGGTTCCTTTTTATCTACTTGCACTTTGATGTGCTTTCGAACTGCTAGGTTGGCAGGAGCTGGGACCGAGCAATGGGAGCTCACCCCGTCGCGGAGATTCAAACCGCCGACCTTCTGATCGGCAAGCCCTAGGCTCTGTAGTTTAGAAACTGTAGCTCTGGGAGGGGAATGCGGGTTTCCTAAAAGCACTGAGGAGCTGCTGCCAACTGATTTTCCCTCTCCCTGGGAGCCTACTGTGGAAGACAGAGCGCATGAGGAACGTGCCTCAGAGGAAAACAAACCGAAGGATGGAGATGAAAAGCTGCTGCTTCGAGATCTCTTCACTCCCTGTGTGCCAGAAGGTGCAGGAGGAGATGAAAGAGGTCTGCCTGCATGAGCAAGAGGAATCGGTGTCTGTGGAAATGACAGGAGAAGAGGGACAGCAGGAGAAATTGGAGGCACATGTGAATGGGCAAGAGGAACAGAAATGGTTGTGGAAGAGAAAGGGCAACAGGAGGGATCAGGCTCTTAATTAGAAGGTTGGTGATTCGAACCCTCCCAGGGACGGCTGTGGGCAGGATTGCGGGGGTTGGACTAGGTGACTCTCAGGGTCCCTTCCAACTCTACAATTCTGTTCTCAGGGCTGAAGTGGGTGAGATAAAGTCCTCAAATGTCTTTGCCCCTTGAGCTGTCAGTGGCTCTGTACCAGCTGAACCACAAGTGGATATTCGGTTGTCGCTCCCATGTTCCACTTGTGAGTTTCACATGGACGTCTGGTTGACCACAGAGGGCTGGACTAGATGGGCCTTTGGCCTCATCCTGCAGAGCTCTCCTTCTGTTCTCATGACAGGCTTTGCATTGTCGCCGGCAGAAGCGGGAGCTCCAACTCAAGGAGATTGGTCCGGGAAAGGAGCCAAAACTGGCCTGCGGTTTATGGCATGGCGCCAGGTGATCAGGTCATCAGGGCAAGCCAGGGCTGCGTTTCAGGCCCACTTTCCCCACCAGGGTTGCCTTCAGCCGGCTGGCTCCCTCCTTGCTTGAAGAAGAACAAACCTTTCTTCCCTTCAGCAGCAACAGCCGCCTCCAAAGAAGAAAAATCCTGCTGACCATTATGTCTAAAAAAGGTTGTGGAATGCCTGGCTGAGCAGGCCCTCAGGGTAGAACCGCCCAGGCCGGCTGCAGCATAATCGAAATTTATCCCGTGGAATCTTCTGTTGTTTTTTAATGTCGCTCAGCCTTAAAGGTTTTATCCTACTTTCAACTTTCCCATGGGAAAAAAAAAATCTAGCATGCCGTGAAGGGGACGGACAATGCTCTCTCTCCCCCAACCCCAAAGCACTGTAATTAATTCCAGAAGGAAATCAGGGAGCAGCAGCAAGAGTGGGAGACACAACAAAATCTGCATCAGATTGAAAAGGAAATATAAACTTGTCACCTTGTTAAAGGGGAAACTCTAGCACCTGGCTAGCCTTCTTGGAAAGGTGGCTTCTGGGTATTCCCGCCCCAGACGAGGGTTGGGGAACAGACTCTCGCTACCCCCAGCTTGGCCCAACAGTCAGGGAGGATGGGAGTTCAGTTCAGCTCGGGATGAGCGAATCTGCCAACTTTGCTTTCTCTCACTTTCCCATTGTTCCACTCTTAAGGTCTTCTCTCCACATTTCCACATCAGCTTGCAGTATTATTTTTTTTAAGTCCTCATGAAGAAGAAGAAGAAGAAAAGTTTGGATTTGATATCCCGCTTTATCACTACCCGAAGGAGTCTCAAAGCGGCTAACAATCTCCTTTCCCTTCCTCCCCCACAACAAACACTCTGTGAGGGGAGTGGGGCTGAGAGACTTCAGAGAAGTGTGACTGGCCCAAGGTCACCCAGCAGCTGCATCTGGAGGAGCGGGGATCGAACCCGGTTCACCAGATTACGAGTATACAGCTGTTAACCACTACACCACACTGGCTCTCATGAAAATGTAACAGCATTTTGGTGCAATTTTTTTTAGTATTTATCTGTCTACTTATTTATTGCATGTATGTCTCCACCTTTTCCTCCAAAGATCTCAGCACGGCACGTACATGGTCATCCTCCACTCGCTTAACCCCCACAACAACCCTGTGAGGCTGGCAGGCAGTGTGACTGGCCCAAGGTCACCCAGTTGAGAGCTTCAGGGCAGAGTGAGGATTGGAACTCCGTTTTCCCAGGCCCCAGTCTGACATTCTAACCTCTCCTCTACAGTCTTGCCTAACAGACCCATTTTTGCAAAGCGATTTCCCTTAATACAATGCATTTTTGCGTTATATCTTTTACTGTTCACTTTTATAGGAAGACTTTCCCCTGGTGCATGCACAAAACTGGGTTTGAGAACTGCAAAATTTTGATAATGTGCACATTTTGAAAGATGCGCACCTGTGCAACCACCACACAAAACCAACTGTGGAATGTTTCATCTAGTCATAGAACTACAGGACAGGAAGGGACTCCAAGGGTCATCTAGCCCAACCCCCTGGGGCTGACAGCAAGAATGATAGCTAACTGATTATTGGCAGGTGCCCATCCAACCTCTGTATAAAAACCTCTAACGAAGCAGAGCCCACCATCTGATGCATGAAACGTTGCAGCGTTTTAGCAGGAAGCTGCAGGAGCTGCTGCAATAGCTCAGTTGGTAGAGCATGAGACTCTTGATCTCAGGGTTGTGGGTTCGAGCCCTGTGTTGGACAAAAGATTCCCGCATTGAAGCGGTTGGACTAAATGACCTTTTGTGGCTCCTTCCAATTCTATGATTCTACACATTGATTTAAAACACAGCAGAATGTCTGCTCTGGAACTTGTGCAGGTGCAAAGAGGGACTGAGAGTAGGAGCATGGGTGCCCAATTACTTTGACTGGAAACCTGTGCGTCTTCTTCCCTTCTAGTGCTTCAGTGTGTATATCACCACCAGATTTTCAGCATATCTAGCCTTTTGCTGCACAAGTGAAACTGATAACAAAACTTGAAAATAATGCGAGGGAAAAGCTCTGTCTTTTACAGCCTCAATGCAAGTACTTTTCTTTCTCCACAAGGATACTGAAGCTGAAAGCAGGGACGTAATGCTTCTCTTAGGCTGACCCCAGAGGCATCTATTTCCTTTCATCATCTCCTCACTTTCTACCTTCCAGTCTGTCCAACATGCCTTTTTTAACCTGCAAGTTCATGGCCCTTGTAAGTGGCTTAAGCACGGCAGGGGAGCTGACCTCTTAATCCTAGGTGAACACTTAGTCTTTAAATTTCAGCAAAGTTTAGCTACCGCATACACTTAAAGGGGACACTGGGAAGAAATGCCAATTGTAATCTCCCCTCAGCTTAAATCCCCTCCTGCCTCGTCATCAAAACCTCCTTTTTTAGGTGGGTGGGAAGAGTCGGTATGAAATGACCATTTAATGCCCTGCCAACTTGTGACAGTCCGTAGAGACAGGCAAATCCATTTCAGTTTCTCATTTGTCCAGTCTTAAATTCAGTTCTCCATGTTTCCACACCAGCTTGTAATTAAACAAACAAACAAACAAACAAAATCCACCAATCCTCATTGTAGTACAATTTTTCCTCAATTAACACATTTTTGTATGTAATCTTGTTTAATACATCCTTCCTTCCTTCCTTCCTTCCTTCCTTCCTTCCTTCCTTGGAATATGTTAAAGAGAAGATTGCAGGCCAGTGTAAAAATACTGGCTAAGCTTCCTTTCAAAGCTAGGACTTCACCTGGGAAAGAGATGTTAACATGACAAGAAGTGTTGAGGGCCCGTAACAGAGGAACCCTTGGACAGAGGATGGCCAAGGTGGTGGGTTAGGGAGAGACATCGCAATGTTGGCTCCCCCAATCACACTCGGAAGCTGGCGCCTCTGACCCTAACTGTTCCCCTACGAAAATTTTCACTGCCCACCACCCGGAACCCCTTGCAATCTTGCTACCACTCGGCAGACAATGGAGGTGGTACCCAACTTCTGTAACAGTATTATTTCCAAACTACTGAGCACACCACTTTAGAACCAGGGTGGCAAACCCTGTGGCCCTCCAGATGTTCCCATCACTTCCAGTCGGCATGGGCAGTGGTCGCGGATGATGGGAACCAGAGTCCGGCCACATCTGGTTTAGAGGAAGGCAAAGCTTAAAAAAAGTTTAAAAAAATAAGGTCCGTATAGTTAAAGCTATGGTTTTCCCAGTAGTGATGTATGGAAGTGAGAGCTGGACCATAAAGAAGGCTGATCACCGAAGAATTGATGCTTTTGAATTATGGTGCTGGAGGAGACTCTTGAGAGTCCCATGGACTGCAAGAAGATCAAACCTCTCCATTCTGAAGGAAATCAGCCCTGAGTGCTCACTGGAAGGACAGATCCTGAAGCTGAGGCTCCAATACTTTGGCCACCTCATGAGAAGAGAAGACTCCCTGGAAAAGACCCTGCTGTTGGGAAAGATGGAGTGCACAAGGAAACGGGGACGACAGAGGACGAGATGGTTGGACAGTGTTCTCGAAGCCACCAGCATGAGTTTGACTAAGCTGCGGGAGGCAGTGGAAGACAGGAGAGCCTGGCGTGCTCTGGTCCATGGAGTCGCGAAGAGTCGGGCACGACTAAACGACTAAACAACAACAACAACAAAAGCTAAAAATCTCCAGATTATTCCAAACAGAAGTGCACAGCTCCCCTTTCCCCTGCAGCTTCCAGGAGATCTCGTGCATGCCTCAAGAGTACCAAACCCGGCCTTGACATCAATCATGTGGTGTCTGAGTTTGCCTTTCCCCCCATCTCTTCTCTTCCTTCCTCGCCCCGTTTCCCTTTTGTTCCCTGCCCTTCTTTATTGAAAGCCCGAGGGGCAGAGACTGAGCTTTTATGGCTCTGCGTGAGGCTGCGGTAGCCTTTCCTGGCTGAAGAGCAAGGTATAAATGTTCCGAACAAATACGAGTTCAAAAGTCTCTGCGACTGGGTGGCAGCTGTTTCTTGAAAGCTTGTCTAGAACTTTTTGCAGAACGGGTGGGAAGGAGGAGGAAGGGGGAGATGGTGGCGGGGAACTCCATGTGACCATCCCAGTTACTCACGCCCCATCCAGAGCGAACAAAAGGCTTTAAAGCGCTGCTGCCCACGTAGGCTGTCTAGTTGGCTGCAAATGAGCTATTTTGCTCTAATGAGGCATCTCTCTCCCCCCCCCCGTACTGTACCAAGGAAGCCCAGATTGCACACGAAGCATGAAATCCAGACTGCGGGAACAGACGCCGAGCAGAACATGCTTCTTCCCCTGCCCTTTGTGGTGGTTTTGGAGCTTCCAAAAACAGATGGAGAAACGAACTGCCTGTGTCCCTTCATCCTCCAAAACGCCTGTTCTGTGCCTGGGATTATACACAAGGGTCAAGACAGTGGCCCGTTTTATTTTTATTTATGAAATGTGTATACAGTGGCACCTTGGTTCTCAAACACCTTGGTACTCGAACAACTTACCTGCAAGCACTGCAAACCCGGAAGTAAGTGTTCTGGTTTGCAGACCTTTTCTCGGAAGCCTAATGTGCTCTGTTTTGAGTGTTACGCTTCTGTTTTGAGTGTTACGCTGAGGTCTGTCTGTTTTTGCTATTTATTTTGCGTTTTTGTTTTCGCAGCTCTTTTTGTTTTGACTGTGTGGAACCCAGTTCAGCTACTGATTGATTTGATTGTGTGACTGCAGTACATTGTTTATTGCTTTCATTTTATGGCTCAATGGTCTCGTTAGATAGTAAAAAACACATGTTAAATTGCTGTTTTAGGGGTTGTTTTCAAAAGTCTAGAACGGATTAATCCATTTTGCATTACTTTCTATGGGAAAGCGAGCCTTGGTTTTGGAACGGACTTCCGGAACAGATTAAGTTTGAGAACCAAGGTACTACAGTACCGCCTTTGATCCGAGGGCGGTTCACGACATAAAAATACAACATGAGAGCACAAAACACATAATAAAACAGAATCAATCCAGGAGCACCACTCCCATGAACACATTTCAGAGGACATAAGGCCCTTGCCTGAAACCCTGGAGAGCTGCTGCCAGTCAGTGCAGGCAGTACTAAGTGAGATGCACCAATGGCCTGACTTGGCATAACACAGCTTTCTAGCATAGTAGATACTATCACGGTAAAGTAAATAAAAATGCTGCTGTTGCAGTCACAGGAGAGGCAGCCAAGAAAATATTTGTCCATCTCATGCATAGGGCTGGGGACCCACCGGGGCATAGCAGCTAGGCTGGGCAGGTTTGGGTTCAAATCCCATTATTAAATCTCCGTTCACAACTAATTTCTCCATATAATCACATCACGGCACCAGACCTGCTGCTCTGTCTCATGGTATTATGTACCACAGACCGAAAAAAGGCACTCCGTAGGTGTGTGGGAGGCAGCCTTTGAGGGGAAATCATCGATAATAAAAAGCTTTCTTCCTCTGAAAACAATTAGCGTCCCAGCTCTCCAAATCCCGGTGCTCTAAAGCTGCTCAAAGGAGCATTTCCGTTACCTGTGTTAAAACAGATCAAGTTGAGTAATTGCACGTTAAATATTATGATTTCACCACAAGGTAACTCTCTGCTAAAAGGTATCGTGGGTGTTTTGCCGAGCTCCACGTAAAGTGCACTCAAGCCACATGTTATTTCCTAAATAGATTTCTTTCTTTCTTTCCTTCTTTTTCACAAAGAACATTATGTATTACTGGGAGGGAGGAACTTCGCAAGATCTCAGCAGCAACACCCAACTCAACCAGAATGCAGCTGTTCTGCAAGACAACAAGCAATTTAGGGCATCTCCATATCACCTGCTTATGCCCGTGTTTATCCTGGTTTGCTTGTGCAAGGCTTACACAGTGGTGAGACTATGCCCAGTTTTTATTCAGCAGCCATTCTGATTTATTTATAGAGTATGGAAAGCATTCAGCCTGATTTACTTACGGGGTATTTACACATTTTCTTGTTGGGCCAACTACTCACCCCGCACTTTTCAATGCTTTTCCCTGTAACTTTCCAAACTGCAAAAAGCCCATTGTTGTTTATAGAAGTGGATTTGTTTTAACTGTGCTTTCTCCCTCACAGAGCTACAATTCCCAGCACCCTTAAGCTATATTGGATAGTTTATTGCTTTATTGTTCGGCGTCCAGCACGCTTCCCCCTGCGAGCCTCTGCAGGTCGTAAAGCAATTAGCAATTAGCAAAGTTGCACAGCGGTCGTGTGTCGAAAGAGCAGTAAATCAGTCCCAAACGTTGCTTCTGTCCTAATATCTCTTTATTGGAACAAAATAGCGTATTTACAATCTCCAACAGCCATCCGAGTTAAGCTGCATCTTCTTTCTCTGCTTGCAGCGTCTGAACAGACTGCTTTCGATTTCCACTCAGCTCACAGCATACAAAGCTGCTTTCCTCACGTCCTGGCTTACTTCCCTTGTAAGCCCCACCTCTCAGGCTCGAGGCATAGAAGGTTAACCCTTCACTACACCCAACACCCCCTCTTGTCTCGCGCCTGAGGGGAGAATCGACCCTTGGTCGTCCCAAACCCAGACCTTCGCAAAACTCTCCATGTCTTTGGAAGGAGAGTGGCTTCGTGAACCCATCAGCTAGGTTCTTGGCAGAGGGACAGTACCTCAGCGCAACTAATCCCTCCTGAACACTCTGGCACACATTCCGAAAGCGAATGTCTAGGTGTTTAGTTCTGGCCTTGAATTGACCCGTTTCGGCCAAACGAAGGCATGGTTGATTGTCCTCGAAAACACGTGTCAGCAGACAATCCACTTCGCAGAGTTCCTGCACTAAGCAAGCTAGAATCATAGAATCATAGAATCATAGAATCATAGAGTTGGAAGAGACCACAAGGGCCATCGAGTCCAACCCCCTGCCAAGCAGGAAACACCATCAGAGCACTCCTGACATATGGTTGTCAAGCCTCTGCTTAAAGACCTCCAAAGAAGGAGACTCCACCACACTCCTTGGCAGCAAATTCCACTGTCGAACAGCTCTTACTGTCAGGAAGTTCTTCCTAATGTTTAGGTGGAATCTTCTTTCTTGTAGTTTGGATCCATTGCTCCGTATCCGCTTCTCTGGAGCAGCAGAAAACAACCTTTCTCCCTCCTCTATGTGACATCCTTTTATATATTTGAACATGGCTATCATATCACCCCTTAACCTCCTCTTCTCCAGGCTAAACATGCCCAGCTCCCTTAGCCGTTCCTCATAAGGCATCGTTTCCAGGCCTTGGACCATTTTGGTTGCCCTCCTCTGGACACGGTCCAGTTTGTCAGTGTACTTCTTGAACTGTGGTGCCCAGAACTGGACACAGTACTCCAGGTGAGATCTGACCAGAGCAGAATACAGTGGCACTATTACTTCCCTTGATCTAGATGCTATACTCCTATTGATGCAGCCCAGAATTGCATTGGCTTTTTTAGCTGCCGCGTCACACTGTTGGCTCATGTCAAGTTTGTGGTCAACCAAGACTCCTAGATCCTTTTCACATGTACTGCTCTCAAGCCAGGTGTCCCCCATCTTGTATTTGTGCCTCTCATTTTTCTTGCCCAAGTGCAATACTTTACATTTCTCCCTGTTAAAATTCATCTGTAGCCACCTCCAACGACACGTTCTCAAGATGGAGGGGGAGGGAACAGCTGCAGTCGCCTGCGGTTCCTGCGCAATGTTTGCCATGTTGCCAAAGGTTGCAGGCAGCTTTACCTGCAGCAATTGCATGTTGATTGCCCTCTTAGAAGACAAAGTCCAGCAACTGGAGAAACGTGTAGCTACGCTCCAAAGAATTAGAGAGCTAGAGCTCTTCTTGGAAGCAACAGAGCACACCGTCTCCACCAAGGAGGAGACAGGGGACTCCCCTGAGAAGGAGGCTAGTTCACCAACACAGGAGCCAGATATATGGAGAAACGTGACTCAAAGAAGTAGGAGGCCCAGGGTTCGCTCTGATTGTTTAGAAATACACAATCGCTTTGAGGTCCTCTCCCCTAGCATGGAAGACGAAGAGCAGACTCCATTTGAGGATCTCTCCTCATTACAGTCGATCAGGTATATGAAGACGAGCAGCAAAGTCAGTCCTCAGGGAATGTGCAGGTGACCTTGGAACGGACAGCTCACGGAAGAACGCCGACCAAACCTAAGAGGAGGCGTGTAGTGGTGATAGGGGATTCCCTACTGAGGGGAACAGAAGCAGTGATCTGTGGGCCTGACAAGATGTCTCGGGAAGTGTGCTGTCTCCCTGGGGCTAAGATCCAAGATGTAACTGAACGACTGCAAGGAATCATAAAACCCACTGACAAATACCCCTTCCTCTTGGTTCATGTGGGAACCAATGACACTGCAAGCAATAGCCTCCAGAAGATCAAAAGAGACTACGAGGCTCTGGGCAGGAAATTGAAGCAATTAAATGCACAAATTGTCATCTCATCTGTCCTCCCAGTTGAACGACGTGGCCCAGGGAGAGAGGGGAAAATAGTGGAAGTGAACAGCTGGCTTCGCAAATGGTGTAAACAGGAACGGTTTGGATTCTTAGATCATGGACTGCAGTTTCTTGAAGATGGACTTCTGGCAAGTGATGGGCTACACCTCACAACGGTTGGGAGGAATGTTTTTGCCAAAAATCTCAGAAACCTCATCAGGAGGGCTTTAAACTGACTAATGTGGGGGAGGGAGACAGTGCTCCTGAAGGTAGGAGTCTATCAATTGATGAAGATGATCATCCAAAAGATAGAGCAAATGGAACAAACAGCACGCAGACCTAGTGGTGGGAGGAAAAAATCCTTAAATAAGAGTCATGGGGGAATGATTAATGGACTTCAATGTCTGTACACTAATGCGCAAAGCATGGGAAATAAACAAGATGAGCTTGAGCTCTTGGTACAGCAAACTAAATATGACATAATAGGCATCACTGAAACCTGGTGGGATAAGTCCCACGATTGGAATGTAATAATGGAGGGATACAATCTATTTCAGAGAAACAGACCAGACAAGAAAGGAGGAGGAGTGGCGTTACATGTCAGGGATGTGTATACCTGTGAAGAGATCCAAGATTTAGAACCTCAAAGCCAAAGTGAGAGCATTTGGGTCAAAATTAAGGGAGAGAAGAATAACAGTGACCTCATTGTGGGAGTTTACTATAGATCCCCAAGCCAAACGGAGGACATAGATGATGCCTTCCTGGAACAGATGGCCAAGCATGCAAAAGGAAGGGAGATAGTAGTAATGGGGACTTCAATTACCCGGATATTTGTTGGATGTCAAACTCAGCCAAGAGCATAAGGTCAAACAGATTCCTCACTGGCCTTGCAGACAACTTCATTGTCCAGAAAGTGGGAGAAGCAACAAGAGGAACAGCCATTTTAGATCTGGTCCTAACCAATGTTGATGACCTGGTTAGTGGGGTAGAAGTGGAAGGATCATTAGGCGCGAGTGATCATGCTCTTCTGAAGTTTACTATACAGCGGAAAGGAGCAGCCAAGCATACTAGGACTCAATTTCTTGACTTTAAGAAAGCCGACTTCATAAAACTTAGGGAAGTGCTGGGTGAGATCCCATGGACAGTAATACTAAAAGGAAAGGGAGTTCATGATGGCTGGGAGTTTGTTAAGAGGGAGATAGTAAAAGCACAACTTCAAGCAATACCAATGAGACAGAAACATGGAAGGTGCCTAAAGAAGCCAGGGTGGCTATCTAAAGAACTTTTAACTGAGTTAAGATTAAAAAAGGATGTGTACAAAAATGGAAAAGGGGGGGAACCACCAAAGAGGAATTCAAACAAATAGCCAGCACGTGTAGACACAAAGTCAGAGAAGCTAAAGCACAGAATGAACTCAGGCTTGCTAGAGAGGTTAAAAGCAACAAAAAAGGCTTTTATGGGTATGTTCATAGAAAAAGGAAGAACAAAGAAACAGTGGGGTCACTCAGAGGAGAAGATGGTGAAATGCAAACAGGGGACACAGAAAGGGCTGAACTCCTCAATGCCTTCTTTGCCTCAGTCTTCTCCGATAAAGAAAACAATGCCTGACCTGAAGAATTTGGAGCAAATGATTCAGCAGAGGAAACACAGCCCAGAATAACTAAAGAGATAGTACAAGAATACTTGGCTAGTTTAGATGTATTCAAGTCTCCAGGGCCAGATGAACTGCATCCAAGAGTATTAAAAGAACTGGCAGATGTGATCTCAGAACCACTGGCAGTCATCTTTGAGAATTCCTGGAGAACAGGCGAAGTCCCGGCAGACTGGAGGAGGGCAAATGTTGTCCCTATTTTCAAAAAGGGGAAAAGAGAGGACCCAAATAATTACCGCCCAGTCAGTCTGACATCAATACCAGGGAAGATTCTGGAACAGATCATTAAGCAAACAGTCTGTGAGCACCTAGAAAGGAATGCTGTGATCACCAATAGTCAGCATGGATTTCTGAAAAATAAGTCATGTCAGACTAACCTGATCTCGTTTTTGACAGAATTACAAGCCTGGTAGATGAAGGGAACGCAGTGGATGTAGCCTACCTTGATTTCAGCAAGGCATTTGACAAGGTGCCCCATGATATTCTTGTAAAGAAGCTGGTAAAATGCGGTCTTGACTATGCTACCACTCAGTGGATTTGTAACTGGCTGACTGACCGAACCCAAAGGGTGCTCATCAATGGTTTCTCTTCATCCTGGAGAAGAGTGACTAGTGGGGTGCCACAGGGTTCTGTCTTGGGCCCGGTCTTATTCAACATCTTTATCAACGACTTGGATGATGGACTCAAGGGCATCCTGATCAAATTTGCAGATGACACCAAACTGGGAGGGGTGGCTAACACCCCAGAGGACAGGATCACACTTCAAAACGACCTTGACAGATTAGAGAACTGGGCATAGAACTCTACTTCTCTGCATACCTCTGAAAGAGCACTGAACTCAGCCTCAGTGGATGAGAGCGCTATAAGACTTTGTTCTTGGACCTCCATCCAACTACTGAGTTTCCAAACTTCACCACTAGGCCAGACACAGACTTGCGATCCTCAAGATTAGCCCAATCCGAATCCACAAAACAAGTCAGTTTGACTTCTCCTTGTGCTGGTAACCTAAGACAAAAGTCTTTGGTTTCCTGCAAATACCTCAGAACTCTCTTGATGCCATTCCAGGCTTGCACACTAGGGTTTGAAGCTTCCCTGCTGAGCAGATTGACAGCAAACGCTATATCAGGTCTGCTCCACTGGGATAGGTACAACAAACTCCCTAGGGCTGACTGAAACACTTCAGCATTTTCGAACGCAGCGCGTTCTACTTGCTGGCTGTCCTTCACAAAACTAGTCTCCATAGGACTTCTCACTCCTGCACAATCACTCATCCTGAACTTCTGAAGCAGTTGCTCAATTTTGTCTTTCTGGCTGAGCAAGAAGCTTCCATCCTGTGCACGCTCAACATTGACACCTAGATAGGTTTTGACAGCACCAAGCTGCTTAAGCTTGAACCGTTTACCTAGCTCTCTGGCAAACTTCTCTGCCTGTTTATCTGTCTCTGAGAAGTATAACAAATCATCAACCCAAATCTGCAAATACTCTTGTGTTGCACCTGGTCCTCTCAAATAAAGGCAACTATCAGCAACACTTCTTCTGAAACCTAGCTCTTCTAAGGCTTCATTCAGGCACATGTTTCAGTTTCTAGCAGATTGACGTAATCCATAGATGGATTTGTGCAATCTCCACACAACACCCTGCCTCAAGTTCTCAAACCCCGGAGGAGGAATCATGTACAGCTCCTCCTGGAGATCTGAGTTTAGGTAGGCAACATCCACATCAAAGTGGTTTACCTTCCAGCCTCTCTGTGCTGCACAAGCTAAAAGCGTTCTCAGAGTCTCCGCTCGTGACGTTGGCGAATACACCTCCGTGAAGTGTATTCCCTTTCTCTGAGTGAATCCTCGAGCAACTAATCTGGCTTTATACTGTGGCTCTCCAGTGTCAGTGGGTTTCAAGCGGTAAACCCACCTGCAACTCACAGCCTGTTTGCCTGGTGGCAACTCTGTGAGTGAGAACACACCTAGATCTTTCATGGACTTCATCTCTTTGTCCATTGCCCTGTGCCACTTGCCTGCTTCTTCCTCAGGTAAACTCTGAATATCCTCGAAGGATTCAGGTTCACATCTGGCTGAACCTACCCAGACGCCTGAAGCTTCATACCGATCAGGAGGCCTCCTTGTCCTCGCTGATCTCCTCAGTGTGAATCCTGGTGACCCTGCTGCTTCACTGGGTCCAGCTAAATCATCCTCAACTTCAGTGTCTTCCCCCTCTGACCTGCTGCGCCTCTTGGGCCTTACAGCTGGTCCAGCAGGTGAGGAAGGCTCACTCTTTGGCTCAGACTTGACACTTGCCTGAGGAGGTGTTCTAGGTTCCCCCCTCTGAGGGATCCTGAGCTGTCCCTGCCTTGGACTCTGTCCCTGTGGTGGACCCTGTTGCTCTGGACCGTGGTCCCCAGCAACAAGTTCCTCTTCCTCCTCAACGTCTGAGTCATAGAACGGCTGTGGAATCACGTCTGGATTAGCGTGCAGACGTTTCCACCCGGCTTGCTCACAGAACTCAGCGCTATTGCTGATAACCAACCTAGACTGGTTTCCACTTGGGTACGCAAACCGCCAGGCCTTTGAGCCAGGCTCATATCCTACAAAGATCATTCTTTTAGATCTTGGCTCACCTTTCTTGCGTAGAGCCTTTGGAATAAGCACCCAGGCCTCACAACCAAACACACGAAGGTAGTGTACCTTAGGCTTCTTTCTATGCAGCAAGAAATAAGGTGTATTTCCTACACTAGAGTTGTACACTCTATTCTGCGTATGAACCACAAATCTCCAGGCTTCAGACCAATATTTCTGGGGTAGCCCTGCGTGCCACAGGATCGCAGACACAGCTTCCTCCACCGTCCTGTTCTTTCTCTCTGCGATTCCATTCTGTTGCGGAGAGTAAGGAGCGGACAGTCTGTGGCTAATCCCCTTCTCCCTGAAGAAATCCTGTAAAGCAGAACCAGTGAATTCAAAACCTCTGTCACTTTGAAAGCCACGAACTTTGGTGTAAAAGGTTACCTCAACTGCGGTGATCCAATCCCTGATCATTTTAGCCGCCTCCCCTTTCTTTCTCAGAGAAAAGGTCCAAGCAGACCTCGAAAAATCATCAACCAGAAGCAGAGAATACTTTGATCCCCCCAGTGACTCAACTGACATGGGGCCACACAAATCTGCTTGAATTAATTCAAAGGGTTGTGTGGTCTGTCTCTCTGACTTTGGATAGGAGCATGTCACAATTTTCGCCTGTTTACATGCATTGCAATCTAAAAATTTGTCACAAGTATTAAATTTGCACCCTTGTGTCAGTTCTGGTGCTTTCTTAAGATACCCCCAATTCAGATGGGCGAAGCGTCTGTGCCAAATATGCGAACAACCATGGTGGGGTGCTACATTCACACATTGCCCCTTCGCATCTTCGGTGTCATCCTCTCCTGTAGAAAAAGGCACACTTACAACAAACAAATTGCCTTTAGACTGCACTGTGTACACGTGTTTCCCATCCTTGGAAAACTCATATTTGGTGTATCTTCATCGTAAAATATTCCTGTTTCTCCAGCCCGTCGTCTTCTTTCGCAGAGGTCACTTAAATTAGCAGACTTCACTCCCCTTCTTCACTTGAAATATGTGCATTTGCTTCTTTTGTAATTAATTATTCAAAATTGCTGCAACTAGTGCGCGATCAGAGACAGCGTCCAGGAGAGCCGATGTCCACATGGGGGCATTCTGCCTAGGGCCCTCACCCCCTTCTTTCAAATTAGGGGGTGATTTTTGGGCACAGCAGGCAAGGGCAGTGTTCCCCATTTCCTTGGGGCAACAAGGGAGGCTGCCTACTCCCATAACAGCCTCTTAATTACCCCGTGTGGGTCAGAGAGATGGTATTGTCGGCCATCTTCCAATGCGCCCCCTAGTGGCCCCTCCTGCAATTTCTTAAAAGACCACTAGATGGCACTAGCGTATTTGTCGCTCCAGAGTCTATGATGACAGTAAGAAAGTCTTGTTGTTGACATTCCTGGGTCACCAAGGCAACAATCTCCTCGCTACCCCCCTCCTTGGGGCCTCTGCAGATGTCCTCTCTGGTTGTCACGGCAACGGACTCCCCCCGGCACGTCCCCACGACCTTCACAGCTTCCGTAGATGCAACTCTCTCAGTTGCCTTGGAGACTGGACTTGTCTCAGCGTTCTCACACAACTCCTCCTGATAGCCGCCTGCTATCAGCAAACTTCCCAGCTGCGCGACCTTGAAGCCTTTAGCTGAATTCAGCTTCGCACGGCTAGGCTCCAGCTCTTGGCGTAAACAACTCTTGGCAGCTTTTGGAGAAAGAGGCGTCTCTGAGCTGTCACTGCTCACTGCCCCCCCACTACTCACGGGGCCTCCAGAACATTTTCCTGCACCCCCTCTGGTGGGTAAAGGGCTCCCAACTCTTGGCCTCTCTCCTGGCTCCTCACACAGACACGTTGCAGCATCCATACAGCTCCCAGGCTCAGCAAAAGCACCAGCAGCATTGCCAGCAACAGCAACAGCAACAGTCCCTTCGCCCCCCTGTGGGGGCTCCCAGCTCCTCCCAGCTGTGTATTGGCTCTCAAGAATCTGGCCGGTGCCATCTTGGCTCTCTCTCTTTGGGGCAGCCACGTCTCGGCCCTTGCTTCCCACCCCAGCTTCACAAGCCTTTCGGAGTGCTTGCCAAGCGGCCTCTGGCCTTTTTGCACCCAGGACAACTGGCACTAGATGAGCATCCACACTTTCAGCCAAAAAAGCAAGGACACGCTTCTCCATGTCACTTTGCTCTGCAGCCTTTTCAGCCTCTGCCTTCCCAGCTGCATGCTGTGGGGGCTGGACTACGTCCCAGAGCTGCTCCCCCACCAGCAAAAGTTCCACTTGAAAGCTCCACTGTAGCCAATTTTGGCTATTCAGTTTCTGACATGGCAGTTTAAACTCAAAGCCATGTCCCTGGGGCTGTGCCATGCCTCCCTTCTCCCTTCTGTGGCGTTTGCAGTACTCACTCATTTCTGCCAACTGGGTGTTCCGGAAAGACCTGGCATCGCAGCTCCCTTGCTCCGTCAGCCTCCTCTGATCTGCCCTTTGAAGTCTTGGCAGTCGATCAAACTGACGTTCAGCAAATAAAGCTTCAAAGCCCTTTCTCACACGCTTCGCGTTGACCACCCATAACCTATTGGATAGTTTATTGCTTTATTGCTCGGCGTCCAGCACGCTTCCCCCTGCGAGCCTCTGCAGGTCGTAAAGCAATTAGCAAAGTTGCACAGCGGTCGTGTGTCGAAAGAGCAGTAAATCAGTCCCAAACGTTGCTTCTGTCCTAATATCTCTTTATTGGAACAAAATAGCGTATTTACAATCTCCAACAGCCATCCGAGTTAAGCTGCATCTTCTTTCTCTGCTTGCAGCGTCTGAACAGACTGCTTTCGATTTCCACTCAGCTCACAGCATACAAAGCTGCTTTCCTCACGTCCTGGCTTACTTCCCTTGTAAGCCCCACCTCTCAGGCTCGAGGCATAGAAGGTTAACCCTTCACTACACCCAACAGTTCCCAGGATTCTTTGGGAGAAATGTGCTTTAAATGTGCACTGAGTGTGGATTTGCCCTGGCTGCAGGCACACTACAGTGGTACCTCGGGTTAAGAACTTAATTCGTTCTGGAGGTCCGTTCTTAACCTGAAACTGTTATTAACCTGAGGTACCACTTTGGCTAATGGGGCCTCCCTTCGCTGCCGCGCCACGATTTCTGTTCTCATCCTGAAGCAAAGTTCTTAACCCGAGGTACTATTTCTGGGTTAGCGGAGTCTGTAACCTGAAGCATCTGTAACCTGAAGTGTCTGTAACCCGAGGTACCACCGTATAATTTTAAGGTACATTTGTAGCACAGTTTCTCCCTCAAAGAATTCTGGGCACTGTAGCTTGCTAAGAGTTGCTGGGAATTGTAAATTCTGCGAGGGGCAAACTAAAGTGCCCAGAATTCTTTGACAGAAAGAATGTACTTGAAAGGGCCGCAGTTCCAAATTCTGCCGAACGTTAGATCCAGGGACTTGCACAGTGCTTCAATTTCTTTCTTTCTTTTTACTGTTTCTCTCTCTCCACCCCTCACTTTTTTTAAAAAAAAAGGTAAACACATTGTCTGTTTGGCCTAATGTATAGCACTGCTCAGACCTTTATGGAAGACTCCATGAATTTCCCCAATCCTCTTTGAAAGCCTTTAAAATTGGTGGCACCGCTGCGTCCCGTGGGAGTGAGTTTTATCGTTTAACTATTGCACAGTGTGAACTCTTGCACTTTCTCTTCTATCAATCCTGAATTTTTTCAATCTTCAGCTTCGCTGGGCATCCAGGAGTTCTTGTCTTATGAGTGAGGAATGGAAATGTTTCTCCATCCACTGTCCCCAAGCCAACACTCAAAAGTTGCAGTCATGTGTTAAAAGTCTCTCCCTCCCTCCCTCTCTCTTTTTTTTTCCTTCTGAAGGGAACAATGGCTTTCCCTGTGAGGAGAAGAGGCTCCCCACTTTGCCATCTCCTCCTCTCAGTTCTGTCTGCAAAAGGCCTGCGTTTGTCTTTTGTCTAATCCTTGTCCAAGGACCCAAAGCCTCTCTCTGACTCTTTCTCTTTTCCCGCCCCCTCCCAGCTAACACCATCTGGGACCTTTGAGCCAAGGGGAAGAATGTGGGGATGTAGACATTCATGCTAAATTGGGGGGGGGGGGGGAGAGAATGTTTAGTCAGCACATCGCTTCCTCACACGAGCCTGTTCTTTCGGCACATTATCAAAGAGGACTGTGGCCTGTTTTGTGGCAAATGCTATTTATTAAGCCAAACGTTCCCAGTGGAACACAGAAATCGATGCAAACACACCCACCAGCTAGGTTTAAGGGTTTGACGGCCTCTCTGAGCTGTTGCACCATCCTGTGATTCAGAAGCCTAACCCCCTAGTCCTTAAACGCTTGCGGGTAAAGCACTCTGCCTATGCTCAGCAGCTCTCTTTAATGCTTCAGGTGCTCTACGGCTGAGCATTGGATCAGATCAAATTATATGGGGGGGAGCCATATAATGTTCCAGAGGAGGAGGGCAGATAACGTGGACAACAAGTGCAGCTGGAAGAGGAACAAGATCAAGGAGGGGGCTGGACTAGATGGTTCTCAGGATCCCTTCTGACTGTACAATTCTATGATCCTATGGACTCCCCCTCTGGATGTTATTGTATGACAATCGCCATCAGCTCCAGCCAGGATGTCCGGTTGCTAAGGATGGTGGAAATTGTAGTAAGCAACATCTGAAAGGCACAACATTGGCTACACCTGAGGATGGGGAGCGGGTGTGAATGCAAGGCATGTGTTTTAGCTCTGCCTATTTAGGTGTTTTGAATTATGGTGTTGGAGGAGACTCTTGAGAGTCCCATGGACTGCAAGAAGATCAAACCTCTCCATTCTGAAGGAAATCAGCCCTGAGTGCTCACTGGAAGGACAGATCCTGAAGCTGAGGCTCCAATACTTTGGCCACCTCATGAGAAGAGGAGACTCCCTGGTAAAGACCCTGATGTTGGGAAAGATGGAGGGCACAAGGAGAAGGGGACGACAGAGGACGAGATGGTTGGACAGTGTTCTCGAAGCTACCAGCATGAGTCTGACCAAACTGCGGGAGGCATTGGAAGACAGGAGTGCCTGGTGTGCTCTGGTCCCTGGGGTCACGAAGAGTCGGACATGACTAAACAACAACAAATTTAGGTGTTTAGCCCCTAAGGAAATTTGGCCTATTGGGAGGGGAGAAGCTCTTACATTTAAAACATGTCTCCCTTTGCAAAAGAAATATACAGTGGTACCTCGGGTTACATACGCTTCAGGTTACAGACTCCACTAACCCAGAAATAGTACCTCGGGTTAAGAACTTTGCTTCAGGATGAGAATAGGAATTGTGCTCCGGCGGCGCGGCAGCAGCGGGAGGCCCCATTAGCTAGTGTGGTGCTTCAGGTTAAGAACAGTTTCAGGTTAAGAACGGACTTCTGGAACGAATTAAGTACTTAACCCAAGGTACCACTGTATCCTGGAAGCTGTGGTTTATTCCTACAGAGCTACAATTCCTGGTACCCTTAAAAAAAAATGCAGTTCCCAGAATTCTTTGCAGGAAGCCATGCATTTTAAATGCGCAGGGCATACATTGCCCTAGAGCAGCAAAGCACATGTTCTGTACCCCTGAGCTCCCCCCACCTCCTTTCTTCCACTTGTTCCAGTGGGGGGTTCACAGCCTACGTTGACAAGAGAGCCCTCCTGCCTTATTCTGCCATGGGGCGTCCTGCCCAGCTGGGACCACAACAACACCGGGCCCCTCAGGGTGCTCAGAGGAACCCACACGACTCATGCGCTTAAGTGTTTATGTTGGCCAAAGAAGTCAGTTTATGCAAGTGCCCGTTTGAAGTGTGAAAAGGCCACTCGTCGTCTCTTTACAGAGTGTAAACACGCTGCCCTGGTGTATTTATGGAACGTGTTGGGAAGGTCATTTTGAGAAAGGCATGATGGCCCGCCTCGCAAGCGCGGCGCTCTTCAGCATTAGCCAGGAATGTCTCTGGAGTCATTCCAGAACCAGGTATAGCACCTTGAGCTCCCTGGAGGAAGAAAAGGTGGGGCGTAAATGCAATATATGAATGAATGAATGAGAAAAACCGAGGAAAAACCTAAACAGGAGGATAATTAAAATGTAATAATAAAAATAAATAATAGTAAAAATAATAAAATAAAATAATAAAAATAAATTTTAAAAAAAGCAAAACCCCATAGTGCCAAGGGATTGGACTAGATCAAGATAATAGTTCCCTTAAGAGCTGCAGTATCTCTTAGTCCTTCCTTTGCTTTGCTTAAATTTGAAGGGGTATAAAACACCTAGGCAGGAGTTCCACAGGTGGTGCATCCCAGCACCCCTCCGTACTCACGCTGCCAAACCCTGCAATCTGCTTGCCACCCAACTCCTTAATCATCAGCATCAAACGCAAAAATACCAACCCAAACTATCACTTAGCCTTTGCACAGCGCTTTCAAGGCGTCCAAAGCACTTCACACGCGTATTATCTATAGTTATAATCCTCAACAACAGCCCTGTAAGGTATGATGACACCTTGCAGACAGGAAGACTGAGGTTGGAATAAAGCCATCTTCTATATAGCGAAGCTCGAAGCAGGCGTGGAATCTGAACGAGGGACTTCCTGATTCACAGCTCTTTCAGCCACTAATCTTTCTCGCAATATTAAAAGGTTTAGAATTGTTTTAAAAGCAGCAACCTCGCAGCATTGTCTTGGCTGCCGTCCTGCTTTTGCGCGCGCCTGCAAGAGCGCGAGCAGCCGGGGAAGCGCCCTCTCTCCCCGCCCTCCTCCCTCCCCTCCGGCTCCCAACCAAAACAACACCGCAGGACTACAACTCCCAGCATCCTCCTCGGCAGCCGTGACCTGGACCCCAGCTGATATTCAAAGCTGGCTGGAAAGCGAAGCTCAGAAGAGGAGAGCGCTAGTTTGCAGCGCGGCTGCTGCTGCTGCTGCGACTAACCCCGCATCGCCGCCACCCACCTTCTTCTGACGCCCTTTTCTCCTCGCTCCCTAGGGAGAAATAAACTCATTTTCAATTTTTTTCTTTTTCTTTTTGTGGGGGAGAGATGCACTTTGGGTCCCTTTTGCACTGATTACTATAATTAAAAAAATAATAATAATTAGTGCATGCAATTGGAAAGGCAATTCATTCTGCCCAACGTCGTCGGGGCTTGATCGGGCAGCGGCGACGGAAGGTCTAGCTCCGGCCCGGCCCTCGACCCGCTTCCCCGGCCCTCGCCTGCCCTCCCTCCGAGAGTCGCCGCGCCAGCCCCCCTCCCCCGCCTCCCCGATGCCGAGGAATGGATAGAGCGTCTGCCGCGCGGAGAGGAGCCGAGAGGATGGTGGAGAAGAAAGAGTGCGCCGCGGGCCGGACGGCAGGGGCTGCGGGGGCCGGAGGAGGAGGAGGGCGCAGCGGCCGAGCCCCCCCGGACGGCCTGGCCTCCGGACGCCCCGGCCGGGCCGGCTGCGCGCTGCAGCAATGCGGGCAGCTCCAGGACCTCATCGACATCTCCCTGTCCAGCCTGCAGGGGCTCCGCACCAAATGCGCCGCTTCCAACGACCTCACCCAGCAAGAGATCCGCACTTTGGAGGTATGCGGAGGGCGCCCCCTCTTTCCGCCAAAGGGGGTTGCCTTGGTGCCAGCTCACCAGGGGGTCGTCTACCAGCTTCTCGCTTTCCCTCCCCCTCCCCGCAGCTTCCGCGGGAATTAATTTATTTTTTGGGGGGTGGCTGGGTGCGGGTTTTGCTCGCGCGCCTTGATTTCCTCTCTCCCAGTGATATGCGCGGACAATTGTCACAAAGAATCTCTGGGTCCCTTTCCTGAGCTGGCAGCGCAATCCCCTCCCTTAGGGAGACAGCCCTCTTATTTATCCTTGTTATTGATAGATGTATTGCATTTAATAATAAATAATAAGCTTCATTATTATAAATATGTATGCCGCATGCACTCTTCTTGCTGGGCACTGCGTTTATTATTATTACTAGGATTAGGTATTGCGGTTTCTTGGATTTCCCTCCTTTTTGTAATGGGACCAGCATGGCCACTTGCGATTAAAAATAAAAACAAAAATTGAAAAGCTATACCTTTCTATTTCCCCATGCATTCTCCCCCTGGTAGTGATTACTCTGGCAGAATAAAAATAATCTGTCCTCTCGGTGCAAGCCATGCATGTCTGCTTGGGAGTTGGCCTCGCTGAGTTCAATGGAACTGACTCCCAGGTAAGTGTGTATCTATAATAGCAGTCCCTAAGCTTTTGGGGCTACCTACCAGGGGCATATTTTGAAATTGAGAAGACAAACCAACCTGTTGTTGGGCACCGTCAAATACCCATTTCACAGGGAAAAAGCTGTACTGTATATGTTTGCAGCCTTGAGGACAGATTGCTCCTGCAGCCGTGAGATCTTTTCTTGCAGTAGTACGCTGTTTGCCAAAGAAACAGTGCCCTTCCCCTCAGTGAATGCTTTTATTTACTAAAACTGCAATGCTCTGCACGCTTACCTGGGAGTAAGCCCCATCCAACTCCTTGCGGACTTTGCTTCAGAGAAGACATGTATTGCGACTGCACGGTTAAGGATTTTATTATTGGTGGTGGTGGTTTTTTTGCTCTGACACAAAAGTCGTGCTTTACGAAACCCGTGAAAACAACAAACAAACCCCAATCTTAATCCACCAGTAATTTGCCCCGTTCCAGTCAATAAAACCATAGCTGCAGGTTGGAAAAATTCACTGCCAACATCTTAAACATGCTTAAAAACTTTTTTTTTTTTAAAAAAAGAAGAAGCAATGGTTAATTTTCCAGGAAAAGGTGTGTGTCGGTGTGTGCTAACCCCACACTCAGAAAAGGAAGTGAGGTCTGCACTGTGCAGTGGGGGGGGGGGGCGGAGGTTGATGACTGCCTTGTTGCAACACTTGCTTTTTCAGAGGGGAGGGGCGCTGTCTGGCTGCCTTATACAATGGTGTTTGTTTAGGATTCCTTGGCCTGTCCTTCTGTTCTCTTCTTTTCCTCCCCCCCCCAGCCCACCCGACCGCCCCCTTTTTGCTGGAGAGGGCATGCAGTCTCATTTCTTGCGGTAGGATTTTTCTTTTGGGGGTGGTGGTGAAGGGAAACATGGAGAGAGAGAGACAGAGAACCTGCTCCCCTTTTAGCTGCCATCATGCATTTTTTCCATTCAGCGACGTTCCAGAGAAAGGACAGAATGATATGTCCTATGGATGTGCGTTGAATGCAAGCAACCTGTCTCTCAAGCCGTGTGTCTTTTAGTAAAGTAAAACCACCCCTTCTGCACATGGCCCCTACCCAGGCAAAGCTTACCTACCCTGCCCCCTGGCCTGGAATTTGGCAACACAGCTGGAGATAGTGGCTACATTGCAGGGGGTCCCTCCCGCCTGTACAATTCTATGATTCCACACAGATACCTTACATTTAAAGCGCATTCCCCCTGTAAAGGGGGCTTTTGCGTCTAGCGTCCCACCCTGCGAAGAATCCTGAGAACTGCGGCTTACTCCCACAGAGCTACAGTTCCCAGAACCCAGAACAAACCCCAGTTCCCAGGATTCTCTGAGAGGCGTGGGTGCTTTTTAAATATAATGGTGCGTATGTAAGCCACTTTGCCCGGTAATCTTGGGTGGTATTTAATTTCTGCTGAACTAGCTATGGAACGCAACGGTACGACTGCTTCCTCTTTGGATTAAAAAAGATAAAATAAACGGCTCATTTCAGGTAGAAGACTCTGGGGGCACTGGAGTCATTTTAGCCTCTGGACTTTAATGGGCCTATGGGGTGGGGACTCATAATGTGGCAACTGGCTCTGCTTCATTTCGGTTTCCTTCAAAACGTGGCAAGCCTGTCCTGCTGCATTTTGGGGGAGGCTCCTGTTCAATCTGTTGCGTGGCCCCCCCCGACTTCTCAAAGCAGGGATGGCACTGCTGAACTGAGGGCGGAGGGCAAACCTTGCTCTCCTGCCCCAAATGGAGCAGATTGGAGAGAGTGCCTTGAAGCAGCTCTGCAGCTGTGTTGAAGGGCTAGCAGCTGCCTCTTTGCCAACTCAGACCATTGAGCCTATCTCAGCTTAGTATGTTTTGCACTGACTAGCAGAGGTTCTCCAGTGTTTCAGACCAGCAGACTTCCCCAGCTCTGCTGAGCTATGGCTCTTCCATGCAAGATGGATTTGCCCTGTCTGGTAATATCTGGAAGCAACTGTGTGCGTTCTCAGGTGGCTTCATTGCTATTGGCGAATTCCTTAACTTGGTTTTTTGGGGAGCGGGGCTTATAATCCATGCCCGCTATCAGCGATAGAAATTAGCCAGGCGCGTTTGCGAATTGTGCAGATCCAATAATGACCATGTGAAGATATGTGGGTGACAGGTTCGTGACCGGGGAAAGCAAAATGTCACTTAGAGAAGGATCTGATCTGAAATAATTTTCATTGAAGTTTGAATATGGTTTTTCCCCCTGGATGGTTTTCTTTGATGTTTAAGGCGTTGCAAACCGCTTTGAGATCTGTTATTTAAAATATAAAGTAGTATAGAAATGGACTGAATAGTAATAATAATAATGATAAATCCCATCGGGGGAAAAAGGTGCCTTGACATTCTGTTGTGGCGACTGTAACCTAGCTTCAAGGTGCCATTTCGCAATTTGCTTATACAGTGGTACCTCGGGTTACATACGCTTTAGGTTACAGATTCCGCTAACCCAGAAATAGTACCTTGGGTTAAGAACTTTGCTTCAGGATGAGAACAGAAATTGTGCGGCAGTGGCAGTGGGAGGCCCCATTAGCTAAAGTGGTACCTCAGGTTAAGAACAGTTTCAGGTTAAGAACGGACCTCCAGAACGAATTTAGTTCTTAACCCGAGGTACCACTGTATAGCTGCGTTTCTAATACGGCCCAATATGGCATTTAGCCTTAAAGAGGGTGTGCATATTTTCTAGTAACACAGGGATGGGGATCCTGTGACTCTTCAGATGCTCCAACCCTGCTGAGCCCCAGCAAACATGGCCAATGGTTAGGGATGATGGGAGTTGTAGTCCAACATCTGGCGTGCATCACGCTGGCTATCCCCATAGTAACAGCTGCTTCTGTGGGGAGCATGTTCCCCTCCAGATATTGCTGGACTAGAACTCCCATCATTCCTCCCCATTGCCATTCTGGGCTGTGGTTGATAGGAGTTTTATCAACATCTGGAGGGCCAAAGGGTCTCCACCCCTGTTTATTATGGATCAACATCCCCTCCACTGATATCCTTTGATTGTGTACTATCTTTGGATTCCAAAGCTATGAGGCCTAGTTAATTCCAGGAATTCCATCAATATGAGGCCCAGATTTGGGGGGCGGGCTTGGATTAGATGCCTTGCAGTTTCCCCACTTTCTCCCCCCTATTGCTGCTGCTACTGCTGCCCAGACACTTGCCTTCTTTCCTTGAGCACAATCCAGAGGCAAATAGAGAAATCTGTTTCATAACCTCACTCTGGGCCCTTGCTCCCTTGCTGAAAGAGGAAAGGCAGACAGGCAGCCATAGCAAGTCAGAGGAGGAGCAAGATGGCGGAAGAGGCTCCAGAAGCTGGCAATGGCAGTGCAGGCCTCAGCGAGTGCCCAACACTGCTTATTCTTTGTGCTGGCTGTGGTGGAGCCAATTAGATTAATTCCCCACCAGGGAATATAGAATTGGTTGCTAACTCATTGCTTGGAGCCTGTTTTTACATGTTTGATTCTTCTGAATTTCTGTTTTCCTAGAATTGTAGAGTTGGAAGGGGCCAACCCCTACAATGCAGGAATCTTTTGCCCAACATGGGATTCAAACCCACGACCCTGAGATTAAGTGTCTCATGCTCTCCCCATTGAGCTATCCCAGAAAATTTTCATTCGCCTTGATATATTTATTTTGCAAATATAGTGGTACCTCCAGTTACGAACTTTCAGTGGTACCTCGGGTTACATACGCTTCAGGTTACAGACTCCGCTAACCCAGAAATATTACCTCAGGTTAAGAACTTTGCTTCAGGATGAGAACAGAAATCGTGCTCCAGCGGCGCAGCGGCAGCAGGAAGCCCCATTAGCTAAAGTGGTGCTTCAGGTTAAGAACAGTTTCAGGTTAAGAACAGACCTCTGGAACGAATTAAGTACGTAACCAGAGGTACCACTGTAATTCATTCCAGTGGTCCGTTCTTAAACCGAAACCGTTCTTAACCTGAGGCGCGCTTTTGCTAATGGGGCCTCCCGCTGCCACTGTGCCGCCACCGTGCGACTTCCGCTCATATCCCGGGGTGAAGTTCACTACCAGGAGCAACTACTTCCGGGTTAGCGAAGCTCGTTACCTGAAGCATTTGTAAGGAGGACGGTACGTAATTTGAGGTTCCACTGTGAATACTGTAAGAAAACCTCTAAAGTCATTTGCAAAAATAGATGCATGGTTTGTTTTTGTTTTTTTAAATATTGCTTTTCTGCTGGTTTGAGCTTACAATTTAAGAATATATTGTTTGCTTTTAGAGTGCACGCCACATAGAGGGTTTTTTTTGGGAAATATTCCGTGATATATAAATGCTTTTAAACAAACAAATGCACAAGTAAGGTTGGAGACTGAGCGCTTGGTGACCCACGAGGCTGTCGGGTGCAGGGCTGGGTCTGTGTGCATTTGTGCACAAATGCCTGAGCACTCCTGCCTCTTGCATTTCCTGGCTCCCCTGTGACCCGACTGTTTACTACCATTTTTCCATCCCTTTCCCCCTGTGTGTCTCTGGCAACGGAGGATAACAACTGAGTGAATCTGATGAAACCAGACTCCTAGCCCGTGAAATCTTACGCCGTACGTTTTTGGCTTTCAGAACTTCAGGTGCCGCCTTATAATACCGAGCCAGACTGTCGGTTCATTTAGCTCAGTATTGTCTGCACTGGCTTGCAGCAGCACTCCCAAGATTCCAGGCAGGGAGTCTCTCCCAGGCCACCTTGGAAGATGCCATTGGACATTGAACCAGGGTCCTTTCTCAGGCAAGGCAGATACTGTACCCACTGAGCCACCTCCCCTTCCCTTTGACCTTTTCAAGCTCTTCGTGGCTTAGGGCCGGAATGGGGGAACCCATTGTGACCTGACTGGGGCTGATGGGGGCTGTAGTTCCAAACAGTGTTAGAAACTTAGATACATAAGCTAGGCACCAAACGGTTCCTTTAACCAGGGTTACGGTCTCCAAAATGGAATGTGTGGTTGCCATTTTGGGGCCAGATGGCTCGAAAGTCGTCTTTTTCAATACGACTTTTTGGTTCCTGAAATTCATTACCATCGTGCAGATAAAATATAACAGAATTCGACAAGATGTGTTGTTAGTGTGTGAAAATGGGCAAATTCTGGGCATGCACCTCCAGATGGTGGAGACGGTCAGGTGCCATCCTGGTGCCTGGGTGTCTTCACTTGGTCGCAAATGGACGATAGCCAGGTGCAAAATGTTCCTGGCAAATTTCGAACGCTGGTTCCAAATATCTGGAGGGCATCAGGGTGAGCTAAAATATGGCCTACGTATCTATTGGTAAAAAGCTGTGTGTTTTATGTAAAGATCTCACCTAGAGCCAGTTTAGATTTCATGAGCCTTTTGATAAAGTCCCAGGTCATTAGTTCCTAACTTATATAGGACTTTTCTATATGTAGATAGAAACAAGAGGGACTCTGGCTACTAGATAAACACACTTTAGATGTTTATCCCCTATAGTATTGTTGCTGTGATGCTGTCGCTCAGATTCTGTCCGCCATATGTAAAAATGTAACTGGATTTCCCATGGCTGCTCTTCTCAAAAGGACCACAAAAAGGTTTCGCGGGAGAACGACAACAAGGACGATTCAGTCAGCTGATAATTCAGGTATATCAGAGTGGATTTCAGGGGGTTAGACTAGATGACCCTCGTGGTCCCTTCCTATGTGGTGCATGGAACTGGCTCTCCTGCAGGAGGCAATGACAGCCGCCATCTTGGATGGCTTTAAAAGAGGATTAGATGAATTCATGGAGGATAACGCTACCAGTGGCTACCAGCCATGAGGGCTATGTCAAGAGGCAGCTTGCCTTTTCAGGCCATTTTTGCCCTCTCTGGGCTCTTTCAAGGCTGTTTTTGCCCTTTTGGAAGTCACTTCCGGGTTCAGCCCAGTCGTGTGTCAGTTGGTCGTCGCCTGTACTGAGGGGCACAGCAGGAACTGTAGGCTGGTTGGAGGTTTCCCAAACGTGGCTGCCATCGTTGGATAAGCCTGGGGAACAGTGGGGAGGTGAAAACAGGCATCTGTGGGGTCTGCCAGGGCCCTGGGCCCCAGAAGCTGTTACAGGTTCAAATGGCCTCTTACTTCACTGGTGCATTGATGGGGGTTTGTGTGGGACCACCACACACGGAAACAGCGAACCAGACTTTTCCAGTTGCCCCCTGCCCTCCCGTTGAAGGTTTCTTGCAAGTTGGGGCCAAGAACCTTTCGTTTGGGCTGGTTGGTTGATCTGGGATAACCAACACTTCCTGGTTTCCTCTTCCAAGTTGTTCCTGCGAATTATGAGGTTTGCGGCTTCTTGCTGGGGCAGATGATTTTTTGTCGTGAACTGTGCCTAGGTAGGTGGTGAAAGCTGCTTGGAGCGGTGGCTGGGAACTGGGATGCTCCAAGAACGGGGTCCTCGCTGCAGGATCACATTCATCCAGTGCTATACCAGCTGCACTGGTTCCCGGTGGAGTACAGGATCAGGTTTAAGGTGCTGGTTGTAACCTTTAAAGCCCTATATGGCATAGGACCCTCGTACCTATGGGACCGCCCCTCCTGGTATGTCCCATGGAGGACCTTACGGTCTTCAGACAAAAACGTCTTGGAGATCCCGGGCCACAGAGAGGTTAGGCTGGCCTCAACCAGAGCCAGGGCTTTTTCGGCTGTGGCTCCGATCTGGTGGAACGCTCTGTCACAAGAGACTAGGGCCCTGCGGGACTTGACATCTTTCCGCAGGGCCTGCAAGACAGAGCTGTTCCACCAGGCCTTTGGCCAAGGCACAGCCTGATCCCCTCCTTTGGTAATTCTTCACAGAACTCTAGCCCAGTGGTTGCCATCAATTTGATTTGAACTGATTTTATAATGAATTGATTTTAGAATGCTGTATTATTTTACTGTTGTTAGCCACTCTGAGCCCGGCTTTGGCTGGGGAGGGCGGGATATAAATAAAATTTTATTATTATTATTATTATTAACAACAAAGCACCAGCCTCGTCCTCAAATGCCTTGTTTGCATCTTGGAGGATGTGCATGGTGGGCGGTTTATGAAAGAGGCAGAATCAAACGGTAGAAAGAAGCCTTGGCTGGCTTGGCAGCTTCTAGGGCTCCGTTGGAGGAATTTAAAAGCATGCGAGGGCATCCTGGCACACGGGGGTGCGTGCGAATGAGGCTAGAGAGAAATGCCAAATTGATTTATAACCCTACCTTTTCTTCTGAGGAGCTCAGGGCAGCATGCACCGTTCTCCTCTCCTCTCCCTTTTATCCTCACAACAACCCTGTGAGGTAAGTTAGACTGAGAGGGAGTTGATTGCCCAGGGTCACATACAATGAGCTTAATGGCTGATTTAAACCCCGGCCTCCCAGGTCTTAGTCCAACACTCTGACCACTAGGCCACCACATTGGCTTCTCTCCCCTAGAAATTTCTTCCTCTTAGAGCAGCCACCCCCAAACTCGTCCCTCCAGATGTTTTGGGACTACAACTCCCATCATCCCTAGCTAGCAGGACCATTGGTCAGGGATGATGGGAATTGTAGTCCCAAAACTTCTGGAGGGCCTAGTTTGGGGATGCCTGTCTTAGAGGAACATCACAACATCCAGGGCCCTCTCCTGCCAGTCTGTAGCCTGGAGTGTTACACCCCCAAGAAAAGATTGATTCAGCTATACATGCCTCCCCCCCCCCCGACTTCTGCCCTAGTTATTTACTTTTAATTTATACATATTTGTATTTGCCGCTTTCCCCCCCAGCAAACCACATATCCTCCAGATCCTATATAATATTTTTCCTAGGCTTTTCCTAACCCACAAGATTGGACTCTGTTATTTCTGAATCCCTGTTTTCTGAACTAATAAATGATTAAAAAATAATAATTCTGTGATTCCAGGTACATTCAAGGAAATGAATGGCTCTAACTCAGCAATGCCTATTAGGTTCAATGGGTATACAGTGGTACCTCGGGTTAAGTACTTAATTTGTTCTGGAGGTCCGTTCTTAACCTGAAACTGTTCTTAACCTGAAGCACCACTTTAGCTAATGGGGCCCCCTGCTTCTGCCGCGCCGCCGGAACACGATTTCTGTTCTCATCCTGAAGCAAAGTTCTTAACCTGAAGCACTATTTCTGGGTTAGCAGAGTCTGTACCCTGAAGTGTCTGTAACCTGAGGTACCACTGTATTGTGAGAAGAGCTAAATGTGGTTATAACCCATTGTGTTTTGTTTGTTTGGTTGCATCTTTGTATACAGCTTAGAGGGATTTTTTTAAACAGGAAGCGGCTTAGAAATGCTTTAAAAGACATAATAAAATGAAACGACCAACAACCCAAACCAATGGGTGGTTTTTATGTGAGGCCCTTTCCCCCTCCACAAATGATAGGAAGATCAAGGAAGTTTCCAACTGAAAATGCACAATTCTCTTGTGAACGGGCAAACCAAATTTCCTGACTGTCGCTCCCCCTGTGGTTGTCAAGCAGATATTTCTGAGAAACCTTGGGCTTCCCCAGAAATGCAGAAAACGCGAAGATCGGGAGAGATTTTGCGACGAACGAATGGAGAAAACGTCTGACTCTGACCCCAAAGGCCTCTTCTTCCTTTGCAGTGGGTGACCTTGGCATCTGCGTTGCTTCCACAGAATGAGG